AGTTTGGACATGCTTGTGCTCGCCTTGTTTTGCGATCTATTAGCACATCTGGTACTCGTGTTTGATCTGCTGTTTGATTATTTACAAATCATTTTATGGTCCTTAAAAAAAGAATACTCTTTCTCCAGCATGTATATTGTCCCCATTTACGCTTTTAGGGCATAAGGTGGAGTTTTTAGGTGGTTTGTTTGTTTGCCGTTTTATGCCGCACTCAGCAAGAGTCCAGCTATATGACGGCGGTCTTTAAATAATCGAGTCTTGACCAGGCAATCCAGTGATTGATATCATGCGCATCAATCCACGCAATTGGGATACGATGACATGCATCAACCAAGTCAGCGAGCCTGAACACCCGATCTCGTTAGTCGCCTCTTACGACAAGCATAGCCGATTTGTATGGCAAACATTGGTTGCTGAAGACCTATCCTACCCCGGATATTCACAGGTCTTTTAAGTGGTATCCTCGGATTACTTAGTAATAACCAAATCTCAACTATAACATTATGTTTACTGACATCAACACATTACCCACGTGAAGAATGTGTCTCCAGCACCCAGTTGCTGGTCGGAAGGGGTTACCAAATTGGGGAAACTGTTTGCCGGCGGTTTGCCGTGTCGGTGGAGGAAGGGAATCTGGTAGCTGAGGGCACTGGTTCCATGAATACGGTTCCTTTGGCCCTAACTTCACCTAGACGGGTGGTAGGATGGGCCCGGACCTATCAATCTGCTGGTCATGCCAAGCCTTTTGCATTACAAATTGCACAAATTGCATTTTGAAATTGTATTTGTCCTTGCATTCTGTACTTGAGGTTTGGTCCTGTTTGTTTATACCAACTCATGCTTTCAAATGTAAATGTTTCAAGTATATAATTTGCCTAGAGCCGTGTGAGTTTGGAGCTTGGATGATGAAACACAATAAACTCAACATGGATTACGAAACCCCCTCAAAGAAACCAAAACTTCCACTTAATAATGATCAACAACCTTCAAAATCTGTAGAATATTGGCCACGATTCCTCGTGATTGAAACAATTGACAAAACACCTCTCAAGCCGAACCCGTTTTCAATATCTAAGGGTGTCCGTGGAACAGCAGGCGAGGGTAAAACATCAAACGGTTTAGATCAGGCTCCATATTAATAGAAACAAGAAGCCACAATCTACAAACCTCATGTCAACTGTTTCGTTTGTCGGCGTTCCAGCTTTGGTCACCGCCTCGCAGGGAAATGTGCTAGTCAGGGATACCTGAAAACCGGTAAAAATTCTCACCCTGAACCAATTAACACATACCTCGTTTCTTTTTCAGCTACAAATGCTACAAAATCAATTAAGGCAGGTTACTGCAATATAGTTGAAATGTGCATTCCCAATCCTCTAAGATGCTTCAAATGCCAAAGTACGGACACGGTGTCAACCATGGACATTGTCTGTTACGTGTGCTCACTGTGGTGAGAAAGATTGTGACAGTGATTTTAAAGGAGTCACTCATCCCACTCAAAGACTGTCTGATGTGGAAACAACAAATGGAAATCAATAAAATCAAAATCACAACAAACATCAATTTTGCTGAGGCAAGAAAACTTGTTCAAACTCCAGAACTAAAAGAAACATGCGTCTATCACTGGAACCCCCTCTGAAACCAAATTAACCACTTCGTCAACAAACTGCCAGACAAACTTGACGTACACGGAAACACTTTATTTACATCAATAGTCCACTCAAACTGCAGAATCCTTCTAACACACCGACTCTACCTCAAGTTCAGTCATCATCGCTATCCCAGGAACAATCCTCCTAACTCAATATTTAACAAATTTGAAGCAAGATTTTAAAAGCAAACCAAGAACAGAACCTTAAAAAAATACCCAAGTGGTAGAGTCTCAAAGGGGTCAAATAATAAAATCTAACTATTAATTAAATGTGGATCCAAATATATATATTGCTGTGCCAGACAACATCCACCCAAGGGTACATGGCTTTTCGTCTGCAAAGAAAGAGCGGGGTAGACCCCCTATCAATCCACCGAAAAGATTCTGCTGCAGCAGTTCCACCTACTTTGAACGTTGCTTTTACTCTGTGCCCACTGTATATTCCGCCTTCATCAGCTCTTCAGCTGTCTGATGTTCAAGCTCTCTCTATGATAAACTCCCCAAACCTTGTGTAACCATGGGTGATCTAAATGACCAAAACCCACAATGGGATGGTACAGACACTAACACAGAGGTGAAATTCAGTAACGACCCGTGCATATTTAATGATGACACTTATCTGGCACCTACTCTTCTCCTCATTTGTCGAAACGAATTTGAATGGTCAGTCGACAATGACCTTTGTGGAAGTGACCATTTCCCAACTATCATTAAAACAATAAACCCATATGATGTTCAACCTTCAACGAGATGGCATTTTACAAGGACTGACTGGCTTTTATTTCAAACATTATATCCACAACTAACTTAAAACCCAAGTGTTTCAGCGAAGTTGCGGATCCTTTTCAGGTGTTTTCTGACGATTTACAGCAAATTGTTGATGAATGTATACCAAGGTCATCTACATATCCACATATACGTAAACTATGGTTTAACGCTGAATGTAAACAAGCTAGCAAGCTCGGAAAAAGGGCAAAGAAATGTTTCCGCCACCACCATAACTTAAAAAAATGTAAAAAAAATAAATCCAATTGCCTGCCGTTCTTTTAAACAAATTATAAATATAAAATAATGATAATAATAATAATAATAATAAAAATAATAATAGTAAAATACACATATATACAAAACTGCCACACAAAGGTTAAAAGGTTCCAACTCCAGCGTTCACCATCTTAAGAAGGGTGACACACTATTAACTGATAAACCAGATATAGCAAATAAACTAGGAGAAGATTTAGCTGGGCATTCTTCATCATCTAATTATGTACCAATATGGAAATGGAATCTGTTTCTACGGATAATTAAGACTTGTTATTTTCTTGTACTGACGTTTTATATTTATCAATGTATATTTAGCATGTCAATTAGAAGTAATTTGTGTGTACAGCCTCTTCGCATATACATGTACATTGAAATGCATGTACTATGGGCCTGTGGCCTTTCAGTACTGAGAATATAAAGATTGAAGATTAAAGATGATTAATATGAAAACTACACCTGACTTGTCACAAGATCAGTAAAACAGTTGCTGTTGGTATCCTGCCACAGCTATTGCAACCGTTAGAAAGGCAAGTTAGTTGTTCACCTGAAAAAAAACATGGGAACATATTGTATAGATTTCTAACATAAACGTTTTCGAACACTTTACTTTGGAATTGAGTATGACGCTTTTTGAAATCTTCGAAGAAAACGCATGCTCGACTGTACCGAAAAAGTAAACACACAAAGGCTGGAGCTGCCGGAATATCAACAAAAAGGAAACGTTTTACTATTGGAAAGTCACCCTTCTTGCCATACAGTCTTTTCGATAGTTTTTATTTGTCTATCTGAAATTGTATGCACGGATCTAAAATACGATAAGTATAATACCCTGTGCCACGTATGACGACACAAGTCACAAGTCACCTTGAAAGGTACTGACACAGAAGTCAATACCTTTCAATCAGTTGTAATAAACAACCTTGATCTTCCATACTGTCTTGTCATTAGTTGCTTACATATCCTGTGAATGCCACGCAAAGATATTTTAATCAGTCAAACTAGGGTGAACGTACAAGCAATAAATATTCGTGTTTGGTTGTTGTTTTTGGGGTGTGGTTGAGCTGGTGCTCAAACATCTTCATGGCGTTTCCTGGGCACGAAAGCTCATCTGAACACCATGCTTGCACGTGTCGACAGAAATACGAATTTGGAACATCACAATTTGCAACCGGCTGATTCTGTGGCCGTTGATTGCCGTTTGTGTGTACTATGAGCCACAAGTTAGCCTGGCCGAGAGTTGATTCTGCACGGTGCGTGGTGAAATAGTTGTAATGCTGTATATAGTACCTGCAAGCACACGTGCGTGTCGCGTTGTATGAATGTAACTATATGTATAAGTCATTTTATCAGTGAAATTTAAACCGTGCATCTAAATTTGACCTCTAGTGACTTTTGACCTTCCACATGACGTTCAATGACAACAAATCACATAACAATCGATGTGAGAATTATTCCTCTGGGGGTATATAGGTGGTATCTCCCCACCGTATTCACGAGGACAATGATCATGTGTAGTTTGAATGTTGAGATCGGCGTATCAAGTATAAATATGACGTTGCTTTGTTCTTTTTAGAATAGATTTATTACCTTACTCAACTGTTGGAGTTTCTTTCAGCTTCATCGATATTTTGCTGTTGGTGCAAAACAATACACTGACCTTCATTAATGTTTTGATTGTTTGATATTCGTGTGGGGCCGTGTGGGGCCTTGTGGGGAGTGAGCTGGGTTATAGTAAAGCTAATTAACATCAGACCTTTACTCTGACACGATACCTGTCTGCGTGAAGATCTGAGGCCACCTCTTGTGGCTCTTATATATATGTTCTGTTACACGTAACAGTTTTGTATATGAAGGCATGCCATAAGAACTCTTCAGTCCTGGAGATTTGTTTCTCAGTGCGAACAATGTTCGGTACTCCGTGTACCTCGGCCACCAAGTCCTTGCCTCTCTTTCTTAGATTATAGCTTGCCACAGTGAGGATCTATGTCTAAAACTGTTTAGAATATGTAGGCTAAGTCATATCCATGTCAATTACTTAATTTCTTTATTGTATGGCATAGTTTTCAATTAGGCCAGTTCAGCATGCACGTTGTGACCGTCACCTTTCCATTCGTCTTCTACATTAGCTTTTGTCGGTTTGTCTAACAAAACGTAGTTTTTTGGAGGTTTCAGTGATATTATTTTTGATATTATGATTGTAAGGTTAGTTAGGTTCATTAATCAGTGTATTTATAAATTTTTGCATTATTTCGGCTTGTAACTAGAAATTCAGGTATCAGGCTGCTCAAATTCATTAATCGAAGCACACGACTGACGTCAACAAGGATTAACTTGCTGTTGTAGTATCCCCTCAGGGTTGAGTCGGTATAGTATAGGTACTGCCAGCCTTCTAGAAACTGTCCGATGTAGACACTTCTCGAACGATCAAGCCTGTCATGTTCCTGTATACAACCAGGGGCAGATAACACTAATTCAAGAACGAAACCACCTGTAAAGCTCAAGTCGCCTCTAGCAAAACTTGCACATAACGGTTCAGCAAAATGTAATTAATTGTTTGATTGGCATTTCTTACAAGTTGACTGTAATGGCCACGTTTCGGTATAGATCCTTGCCAAGTAACGGTATAAGGACCTATAGTGAAACGTCGCTATTACAGTAAAATAAAGAATCTATTCTCCATAAATAATATCATGTTTGTAAAATGTAATGAGAACGATTACAATGTGCTTACAAGGATACTTTGATCGACCGTCCAGTGCCAATCGCTTGTCCAGTTCTACATGTTATAAGTATTGCCCTGTGTAATTTAGAAATTGTCTCGTACAATTATGATACTTATTCATTGCTAGATTGATCTTCATTTTGAGATTTTAAGATAAAAAGGCGAACAATTAATTGATTTAAGAACTTCGTATTGCGAGGACTGATAGTTTGGCCTTGTCGGCTTTCAAGGCAAGAACCTTCTCGAGGGTGTCAATTTGGTGAAGACGTCTTGCACGGCGACAAGGTCTGTTTCATTTGAAAACTTCACAGATCTAAAGACGTTGAGGATGCGGTTCAGTCCTGTATGTGCTGCAGTCTCTCAAACATGTCATCCTGGTGACTCACATACAAAACGACAAAACACACCTCATTGGCAACAATATGAATGTATAATATATGAATACTATCAAAATATGAAAATACAAGAGTAACATAAATTAAAGTATTGCAAATACAGGTACATATGCAATGGATCTTCGAATTTGTTATTTTGGTAGAAGTAGAGACAGATATCCAGAAGAACAGAACTAATTCGTTGTACAGTCCTTCTTCATGTCTGTATACAAACACCATTTTTACAAACAACATTGATGATTACTTTTGATTCCTATTGCATGTTTCAACAAATCTGACAAGTGATGGAAGATAGATATTTTGTAAAGTGTATATGAACGAGATATTTTGTGGCTCCCACTATGAACAGGATCATCTTGCAACAACATACGTGACTGGTGTAACAATGAACACGTGGCCAATACTTATCCAAACTGCATAAGTTTAAGGCATGGATACAATATATCATCAAAAGACACAAATATATTTCTCATGATGCCGCAGTCGTGTCAGTATGTGCTATTGAAGAGTTCTTCAAGCAAACAAAAAGCACTTCCTGTCGATTTCAACTATTATGCTTTGCTTGCGGAATCATCGACATGTGAAATGGAAGCCTCGATTGGTGAAGCATTGTCATAATTTGGGTTGCTCACTCCCGAAACGTCTCCCCCATTTACCGACTTGGAAAAGAAGGCGGACGCTCCCCCGAGTGACACTCCGAATCCACCCCTCGAGGTGGCCTGGGTGTCAGGCACAAGCCCTTGGGTCAAGGTGTCTTTGTATTTGTATCGGCGTCTGTAGTACAGGAAGCCACAGACGGCAGCGGCGATGAGCAGTGCACACACGATAGGGACTGCAATGGCTGCTGCTGGGGGCGCGTTACTGGAGATCTTCTGAGTAACAGGACCGCCCGTGGGACCGGTAGCAGTAGTTGTTGGCAGCACCCCTAGGGAGGGAGGAAACAGGTGAAATAATACAACATATGTAGTCATGCTAAGCCCTGGGGAGGGAGGAAACAGGTGAAATAACACAACATATGTAGTCATGCTAAGCCCTAGGGAGGGAGGAAACAGGTGAAATAATACAACATATGTAGTCATGCTAAGCCCTAGGGAGGGAGGAAACAGGTGAAATAATACAACATATGTAGTCATGCTAAGCCCTGGGGAGGGAGGAAACAGGTGAAATAACACAACATATGTAGTCATGCTAAGCCCTAGGGAGGGAGGAAACACAGATACAAAGGTTCTACGTATCCACTTTTAACATAGCATTTGACAATTTAGAATAAAGATGTTTTCCACAAAATTATTTTCCGACTGGATAAGGTATGAAAATAATGTTTACCCCATGTTTGAATAAAGTATATTCATTGCCAAATGAAAACTGGCATTAGTAAAGTAATTTGGAATGACAGCAATCGTTCGGCTTCTGTTCAATCAAATCCAAGCAGAAGAATAATGCTATGGAACAACCAGACTTCTAAATTTCCCAGTTGGGCCCCTAGTCATTCATCCATTCATTATCCTCACCTGAGCATTGTACACCGGCATCCTCGCTGTGTGCGCAGTTGTGTATGGCAAATCCGTTAAATGAACAATCCTGTATGTGAGCTTCATTCCCTTTGCAGCCAACATTGTCCATCCAGACTTGTCCCTGACCCTGACCGTAAAAAGCCTTTTTCATGGCCTTTCCCTTTGCAAAGCCGAACATCATGCAGACAACGGTGGCGTCTTGGTCATCCCATACGTCGTCACAGACGGTGCCCCACTGGTCGGGTCCCTGAAGGTATACCTCCACTCTACCAGTGTTGTTGGTTGGGCCGTCAACAAGACGAACGTTTGTTACCTCTGTGCAATAGACGGATGGATAACGTTTCAAAGTTGGATATGATAAGTCCAAGTTATTTGTAGAGTTACAAAAAAACATATCACGAATATTAAGGAAATTCAAAATTTATATAAAAAAACCCTGTCTGTTCTATATTAAATAATGTCCCAATTGTGCCATATTGCCGAACAAGCCCACTAAAGAGGTTCAGGTGTTCCGACCTGGTTCCTTGGTTGACCATGTGTTATGTGCCTATAGCGTGGGTTGTTCCTCTTACAATTAACCACTTGTTTGGTTTGATCATAATCAGGTCACCCTGATGTCACTGTACTAGTTAAATGTAATAGTATAACTACCATTCATTTCTATTGTAGTCAAAGATTGAAAGAGAAGAACATTTGCCATATTGATGTTGTAAGTGTGACGTACATACATTTGTGATCATACTTACTGATCTCCTTATTGTAGCACTTGGCTGATGCTGGTCCAATCCTTTTACAGTAAGACGACCAAAACAACCTGTAGATGGACAACGTTGAATAGAAACCATCATTCATACATGTAGGCAGTGTGGTCTCATTTCCGTAGCATTTAAAGTAATGGAACCATATTGGCCTGTTGTCATTTGCGACCATGTAGCGGGCACTGGTCACTGGGAGTCCATCCACGTGGCCGAGGCTCTTGCAGGCAACCTTGGCGGTGTTGGAGGAGACGGAGGCGTCACAGATGGTGCCCCATTGGTTGTCATACTTCATTTCAACACGACCTTGCAGAGGGTTGCCACCTGCCTGGCCAGCCAAGCGATACTGTACACCTGCAATTATTGGCCATTAGATTGAGTGAATACATTGGTTTCACCTGATCAGCAAGTCAGGGCGAAGTAACAATAAACATGAATCTCATTTAACCTTAAAGACAATGGTGTTGTTTCGATAACCCGACTGAAACTAATGAATTGTCTTGTTACTGTAGCAATAATCAATATCAGTGAAACCATAGAGTATCCGCTGTGCAGAGTTGTGTCCCTTCGGCACGCCAGAAATCTGGGATCACGGATTTTGCATGAAAAAAATGTGAAAGCCACGCAAAGGGAACGGCAAGCGTACTCAGGCTTTTGTTTCATTCAGACTATTTGAAACAATATCTACCACAAACCGACAACTGCCTGTTTCCTATGTCATAGCTTCACATGCTGACACTGTATACGTGTATTCTTGTAGCATGTTCAATAACAAGGGAACATCCATACACGACCTTTCTGATAATCAGTGATCAAGAGAAGCAATGACCTACCAGCGTTCCTGTAACAAAGCAATCCAGCTCTTGGGGCGTAATAGTCACACCACTTGGTGGTACTGCGAGCCTTGTATGCACACTTTGCCAGACTGTCCTCATTGCCATTGCAGACCACCTCCGTCATCAAGATGGGGCGTGTCTCGCTGATGATGTGTTGACCGGTACTGTGGAAGGGGTTGTATATTGCGGGCGAGTAGGCAACGCCCCCTTTGAAACGTAGCTGCTTACATGCGACGTTAGCTGCTCGGTCGTCGAAGCCTGAGGCGCAGACGCTGCCCCAGATGCCGTTGATATTTACCTCCAGAAACCCATGGGTATCCGCCACCAGATCGTCAGCAACAAGGCGAGACATGAACCCTGGGGGATGTAAAACAGCATCAACATTGCTGTACATAAATTAGTTAACGTAGATGGCTTTGAAGTAACAAGACAAGATATTTTACAGATGACAGAATAAAGAAGTTTGCTTTAAGATGTTCGGGCCGACATATAGAATCAATGCCAAGATGCTCATGCATGCATATGAAAGCGATATCAAGATGTAAGGGTGACATAAAATCAATATCAATATGTTCGGGTCGACATATAAAATCAATATCAATATGTTCGGGTCGACATATAAAATCAATACCAAGATGTTCGGGTCGACAAATAAAATCAATACCAAGATGTTCGGGTCGACATATATAATCAATACCAATATGTTCGAGTCGACATATAAAATCAATACCAATATGTTCGGGTCGGCATATAAAATAAATACCAATATGCTCTGGTCGAATACCAATATGATCGGGTCGATATATAAAATCAATACCAATATGTTCGGGTCGGCATATAAAATCAATACCAATATGCTCTGGTCGAATACCAATATGATCGGGTCGATATATAAAATCAATACCAATATGTTCGGGTCGGCATATAAAAACAATACCAAGATGTTAGGGCCGAAATATAAAATCAATGCCAAGATGTTCGGGTCGACATATAAAATCAATACCAAGATGTTCGGGCCGACAAATAATATCAACACAAAGAATTTAGGGTGACATATAAAATCAATACCAAAGATGTTCGGGCCGACATATAAAATCAGAACCAAGATGTTTGGGCCGACATATAGAATCAATACCAAGATGTTCTGGCGACATATAAACTAAATTACCAACATTTTAAACCATGCATATAAAATCAATACCGACATATTTAAACGTGCATGCAAAATAAATACCAAGATGTAAAGATCGACATATAAAATCAATACAAACATGTTCAGGCAAACAAATAATATTAATACCAGCATGTTCGGGGGACAAATAAAATAAATACCAAGCTGTTCAGGCGACAAATAAACTTAATATCAACGATTTCAAGCATGCATATACAATCAATACCAAGAGGTTCAGGCACGCACATAAGATCATAACCATTAACAATTCAGCCCTGTAAATAAAAGGTCTTACCACTATCAGTTATAGGGTCGTTGGAACACACCACAGAGGCGTAGGTTCCACTTTTGCAGGTTGTTGATGCTGTCGTAGAGCACTGTTTGAAGTTGGCCTCCCGTCCATTGCACGTCACCTGGCTAATGCCGATTGGACCGTCGGTTATGCCAAACAATGAACCACCGATGTTTATGCCAAAGTTAAAGCCCATTGTCCTACAGGTGACTCGAGCGGCGTTTGCGTCAAAGCCGCTGTCGCACACGGCGTTCCATTTGTTGTTGGAGTACACCTCTACTGCGCCCATGGAGGCGTTGAGGCCGGAGTTAACCCTCACTAGAAAATGTCAAATGTGGCATGATGATTATATATAACGGTATGATTATTGTAGGCAGATATCACTACTAACGACATTTTACCGAATTCACTTGCATTTGTAAAACAACTGACCGAGCGATGGCCACACATGGGGGTTTCGATATGGCTGGCTGGGAAATTTTTGTGAACCACTTAACCAGATATTTCAGCTCCACTGGTCCACCTGTTTCTGAATAGAAGATCATAGATCCATGGTCTCTAATTGCTGTTACGTTATGTTATGTTATGTTATGTTATGTTATGTTATGTTATGTTATGTTATGTTATGTTATGTTATGTTATGTTTTAAGAGCTTCAGATATAAAGAATTGAATTGAATGTTGTATATTATTTGTACAGACGCCGACCGTCGACGTGCAACCATACCATGACAAGCTCACGACAGACATAGGATCCCTTGGGTTAGAACAGGGTTAGAACAGATTTCCAGGACTCTGTTGCTTGTCGCAAGTGAGTAAAATTTAATAAATTGAATGAGCGGTGACTGGAAGAACGGCTGGCGGTATGTCATCGTAGCCTGGCGGCGGTGGACGTTCATCATAATATCAGTATCATATCAGCTGACTTCACACATACACATTGACTATTGCTATTCACACATAAACATTGACTGTTGCTGTTCACATATGAACATCAACTACTGCTATTCACACATAAACGTTGACTGTTGCTGTTCACACATGAACATTAACTACTGCTATTCACACATAAACATAGACATATGCTATTCACACATAAACCCACTTGACCTTCATTCAGGTGAGGTAAATCCTGTCACACATTTTTGAACAGATGCATTTACATACACATTCTTCATGGTGTGAACGGGGGCACGGGTGGCCCAGTCGTCTAAGGCGCCGCGATTCGCTGTGCAGAGTTGCGTCCCTTGGGCACGCCAGAAACCTATGATTGTGGGTTCGAATCCCGGTTCGCCCCAGTTATGTTTCTAGGTTTGTCAGCACGGGATTTCGCCGAAGTGGTAAACGTAAGAGGCCTGCATCACTTCTGGCTTTCCTCCCACATTAAGCTGACACGCCTTGATATAACTGGAATACTGTTAAAAGCGGCGTTAAACCCAACTCACTCTCTCAATCATGGTGTGATCAAGTAGAAATGCACTAGCGTGCTCACCATTGTCGACACAGAGAACGGAGACGTCATCGCGATGACTCTGGCACGACCAGAAGCTGAAACCCGAGACGACCTCGCTGTTGAAGCCGGAGTGAGGGCAGCTGTGGAGGCTGGGTTCGGAGCCGTCGCACTGTAGTCCGCTGAGCCACATCGGGCCACTCCCCTGGCCGTAGAAGGCGTTTGGTATGGCGTAGCCGTCCTTGTAGCCCATCTGACGGCAGAAGACGCCGGCCTCGCGGTTGTCGAAGTATCTGTCACACACTGTTCCCCACACACCACCTACAGACATCTCCACACGACCGTAGTTCTGTTGTGTTCCATCGGGCGCCACCATGCGGTACTGGATACCTAGGGCAGGATGCACAAGGAAGGGTTTCAGTGCAGCAAAATACAGATAATAATTCATCACTTTATGTTTTTGCTACTTGGTTTGGTATTTTTCTTTTCCTGTTTCTTGAAGGGGGAGGTCACAATTAATGGACATTGTCAAATGTAGTCCAGTACGGCAATACGATGTTTTAGTAATAGATTACTGACATAGCATGACCGCAGCCTGTTAGGGTATAGAACCAGAATTGATATACATTTCATTCAGTTATAGGGTTTCATTTATTATTTATTCCCTGTTGATTGCCCAGCCAATCATACAAATATATTTTACACAGATCTATAGTTGTAGGTATATGAGAACGGAAAGGCAGTTTACAAGCATTTGAATGGTAGAAGGTCCTCGTTTTCTTATTGATTATGAAGATTTCTGTTCTTCTGGTGCATGATGTCAAGAATTGCGTCAGTTGAACCACACCGTGTCAATAGAAATTTGTGCCTACTTTTGTCTCCGTTGAAGCAGATGGCTGAAGCAATGTCGGCGGAGCTGCAGTTGCCCAAACTCTTCCTGTCGTTGTAGGCGCAGTCTGTCAAGGACGTCTCACTTCCGGTACAGTTCACGGCGCTGAGCCAGAAGGGACCACGTGATCTGATAGGATGGTAGTTGTATTTCACAGAGTGGTGGTAGGCGATACCGTTGTCGTAGTGCAGGCCCTTACAGAAGACTGCAGCCTCCGTGTCGGTCCAGAAAGTGTTGCATATCCGGCCTTTCGTGTCGTAGTGCTGCACAGCGATCTGACCACTGTCCGAAGTAGAGTCGTCAAATCCGAGGGTGTAGGCTATCGAGAATAGGTAGGGAAATGTCAACAACAAAAAATTAGATGGGAACAAAAAGTGAACGACTCCGTGCTCAATGTGAACAGCTTAGCGTAAAAACATATTACATCGTGTATATTTTACTCAATCATCACACAGTTGGTGAGAACCTTACAGCCACCATGGCTGTAGAAACTGTGAGATCCCACCAACACACAAGTGATCTTACATGATCACTATTATACGGAAAATAAGGTGGTAGTAACTGCTTTCGAAAAACCTGCTTAATTGTTTATTTCCGATTTTCCCAATGGTCCGTCCCTTATTGCCCACAGATACCTTTCTCATCTACAATTCTACTGTCTGTATCAAATCTACAATTCTAGTCAAATAAGTGGAATACACACTCAGTGTTTAGCTATGGTCTTGCGCTTTTTAAGATTGAAACTAAACTTTTAAATAATATGAGAATTGTCAAATTTGACGCTTTTGACAAGCTGTCCAACTCCTATAGTTTACATGCATGAGGCAAGGGGTCATGATAGGAAGCAACTGAGGGGTACCTTTACATTGTTCGCAAAGGCCGAAGTTGATTGCTGATCATAAAATTACTGATATACATTTTCATTTTGTGCAGAGTATAAACTACTTATATACATTTTCATTTTGTACCCAGCATGAAACTACTGATGTACATATTCATTTTGTACCCAGTATAAAACTACTTATATACATTTTCATTTTATACCCAGTATAAAACTACTTATATACATTATCATTTTGTGCAGAGTATAACTGTTTATATACATTTTCATTTTGTGCAGAGTATAAAACTACTTATATACATTATCATTTTGTGCAGAGTATAAACAACTTATATACATTTTCATTTTGTACCCAGTATAAAACTACTGATATACATTTTCATTTTGTGCCCAGTATAAAACTACTTAAATACATTTTCATTTTGTACCCAGTATAAAACTACTTATATACATTTTCATTTTGTACCCAGTATAAAACGACTTATATACATTTTCATTTTGTGCCTAGTATAAAACAACTTATATACATTTTCGTTTTGTGCCCAGTATAAAACTACTGAAATACATTTTCATTTTGTACCCAGCATAAAACTAATAACATACATTTTCATTTTGTGTCCAGTATAAAACGACCTATATACATTTTCATGTTGTACCCAGTAAAAAACTACTTATATACATTTTCATTTTGTGCCCAGTATTAAACGACTTGTATACATTTTCGTTTTGTGCCCAGTATAAAACTACTGAAATACATTTTCATTTTGTGCCCAGTATAAAACTAATGACATACATTTTCATTTTGTACCCAATATAAAACTACTTATGTACATTTTCATTTTGTGCCCAGTATGAAACTACTGATATACATTTTCATTTTGTGCCCAGTATAAAACTACTGATATACATTTTCATTTTGTACCCAGTATAAAACTACTCAAATACATTTTCATTTTGTTCCTAGTATAAAACCACTGATATACATTTTCATTTGTGCCCAGTATAAAACGACTTATAAACATTTTCATTTTGTGCAGAGTATAAACGACTTATATACGTTTTCTTTTTGTACCCAGTATAAAACTTCTGATATACAAATTCATTTTGTGCCCAGTATAAAACTACTTATATACATTATCATTTTGTGCAGAGTATAAACTACTTATGTACATTTTCATTTTGTGCCCAATATAAAACTACTGAAATACATTTTCATTTTGTGCCTAGTATAAAACTACATATATACATTTTCATTTTGTGCCCAGTATAAAACTTCTGATATACATTTTCATTTTGTGCCCAGTATAAAACTACTGATATACATTTTCATTTTGTGCCCAGTATAAAACTACTTATATACATTTTCATTTTGTGCAGAGTATAAACGACTTATATACATTTTCATTTTGTACCCAGTATAAAACTACTTATAAACATTTTCATTTTGTACCCAGTATAAAACTACTGATATACATTTTCATTTTGTGCCCAGTATAAAACTACTTATATACATTATCATTTTGTGCAGAGTATAAACTACTTATTTACATTTTCCTTTTGTGCCCAGTATAAAACTACTGATATACATGTTTATTTTGTGCCCAGTATAAAACTACTGATATAAATTTTCATTTTGTGCCCAGTATAAAACTACTTATATACATTATCATTTTGTGCAGAGTATAAAACTACTTATATACATTTTCATTTTGTACCCAGTATAAAACTTCTTATATATTTTCCCTTTGTGCATAGTATGAAACTACTTGTATACAACGCCGTGATATAACTGGAATATTGTTAAAAGCGGCGTTAAACCCAACTCACTCACTCACTCACTTGTATACATTTTCATTGTGTTTGCTTGTTTGTTGTTTAACGACGCACTCAGCAATATTTCAGCCATATGACGGCGGTTTGTAAATAATCGCGTCTTGGTCCTCGGCTCCATTATTTTTAAGGAATGGAGAGTGACGAGGACATTACCCTCTGAAAATATTATCATTTCGTGCCCAGTATGCGTTTTGGAATATGTATCGGCAGATATTCGAGACTGGGTATTCTCTGGCATTGGCATTGTTACATATCAAGTGAAAAGGTTTATACAACAGTTTTCTATAACCAATGAGTAGCCGGAACAAGCGGCAGGATGTAAACTCGCAAGGTCAAACTTCATCCTGGGGAGAAAAAGCTCTCAACCTGCGGTCCACGCGACCTAACAGAACAGTCAGATCATCGACACACGTTTGTGTCACAGCTGTGTCAATAGCTAGAGGTAAGGGACCAGTTCAAAAATTCGATGTAGAATACAAAACTTCATTCCTTCAGTTTTGAGGCTACTATATATTACGCACTGCACTATTGCAGGCGAGGATAAAACCCTACCTTGTGGTCTTCACAGTATAAGAATGAATTAGGATCGGCTTAGTTTACTGACTCTATGAAACAATGGGCAATTATATGAGTGGACTAGGGATTTAATTTTTTTATCGCACATGGAACTTAACTGATCCTCAAGGGTTCATGTTTACAAGACGCATTGAACACATACAGTTACTTACTTTCTTCGACCGCGTCTGAGGTGTTGAAGCAGACAACCGAGGCGTAGTCGTTGGAGCAGGTGCCGGGTGTGAGGCACGTCATGGGGTCGGACTTGGTACCGTCACAATTCATCGTAATGTTGGGCAGGAAGCTGCCGGGGCCGTTGCCGTACCAGGAGTACCTGACGTATTTCGATCCATAGGCTGAGCAGCACAGGGCCTTCCCATCCACAAAGCCAAGACTTCTACACACAGTCTTCGCGGTGAGGTCATCAAAGTTGGTGTCGCACACGTAGTGCCAAGTGTTGTTCCTCCACACCTGAACTGGACCTTGCTTGATGTCCGGGGAGAACCCAGACGCCAGTTTGACTGAAGACAAAGCGGGGGCAAAATTGATGATCATACACACGCAATCACAAACTTCATCAGAATAGCACAGTGACCATCAACGCCAACGAGTAGGGTGAAGCACACATTATATTGTGTATAAAAGTATTAAATACATCATATCAACTCACTGTCTCCGTAGCAGGTGATGGCAGCGTCGTAGTTGTGGTTCATGCAGTATCTACTGGTTGCGACCTTCCAGCCCTGATGTGGGCACTCTGCCAGTGATCCTTCGTTGCCTGTACACCGGAATCTACTCTCGTACACGGGCCCGGAGGCGTTAGGGTACTTGGTGTAGTAATCCACCAAGCCTACATTATAGCCCAGGCCTCTACACATGACTGTAGCCTCCCTACTGTCGAAGTAGGAGCGACATACGGAACCCAACACGCCATTGACAGACACTTCCACTCGACCTGCGTTCTCAGGGCCTCCATTGGAGAGGCTGTAGTAAATACCTGCGTGGGAGACATGTATCACAGTCATATCCAGCTTGCGGTAGTAAACGGCAGAGACGATCACTTTGGGACATGCGAATAATGGGATATTCAACAGATAGCTTCACAGGGGGAAAACATTTTGTGTATTCATATTGCAAAGAGCAGATTCTTATATGGTTTATTAACCTTGCCACCATGTTTCGTTACAGATGAACATACCTAATTCTATGTATAATGGCAAATTTCTGTCCGAATAGTAGGTTTCTAAATCATTAATAAGCTTCCAGTTTAATGTCTTTCAACTTCCTCATATTTACGTACCAACATTGTCGCCGCACAGCACACCAGCAGAGTGGGAATTTTGGCATGACGTCACTTTACCCAGTTGTGTTCGGGAGCAATCCACTAGACGGTTCTCTGTGCCGGCACAGTTCATTTTTGACGTCCAGAAGGGTCCGTTGTCGGCATTGAAGGAGTATTTGTAGTGGGTGTAGGCGTGGCCTTTGCTGTATCCCAGTTCTCTACACGCCACAGTTGCATCTTTGTCATCCCAATCATCAGTGCAGATACGACCGACCATGTTCATGTAGTTGACGATGACCTCGCCAGTGTAGTTGTTGCCGTCAGCGAGGGACCATGTGAACGCTGAAAACGTACGTAGAGGGTATTTGTCTTTGCTTGTCAAATAACATGTTTATTTAATTAAATGACAGGATCACAAGAATGATCGAGTGAAAAGTGTTTAAATAGTTAAAGAATTATTTTCGTCTTTTGCACAAACCAAGAAAATCATAAAAGTAGCACCAAAAGGCGAAGGCCGCTGCCAACAGGTATATTCTGAATGGGCTGAAAGTTATACTTTATGAGATCTTGAAAAACAATCAAGGAAAGTGTGGCTGTATTGTGTACACATTGATTGTTTATTGTGAGAGGTTAGCATGATGTGAGGGGCTGAAATTGTTTATCTCATCTTATTCCAAAAAGGTAGTGGAAACTTCCTGTGCTGTGTTCCAAAGAACAGAGAAGAACACAGGCACAGTCGTTTGCGTAGCCTTCTACGTTCAGACAACCTGCCTTTTATGATTAAAGTACAATGCCGCCTTCGTCCAATAACTTTGTAGCTAACGCTAGTCAGCAAGCTACAACAAGCAGCCTACGCCGTCTACCGTATCTACTACCGTCTCTGACGTCATGTCTCACACTTCTCAGCGTTCTGCTACAGCTTCACACCCTCTCCCCTCCTTCCTTTTACAGGAAGAGGATGTGTTTGAGCCTTGTCTTGCTGAAACATCTTCACGTCATGAGGAAATACCGTATATCTACGATGATCAGGAGTTGCTGATACATCCTCACGTCATGAGAAAATACCGTCTATCTACGACGACCAGGAGTTGCTGATACATCCTCACGTCATGAGGAAATACCTTCTGTCTATGACGTGCAGGAGCTGCTGATACATCCTCACGTCATGAGGAAATACCTTCTGTCTATGACGTGCAGGAGCTGCTGATTTCGATTTCGTTGGGCGACTTTGATTGGACTATGCATAAACTCGTTAGTCCAGCCAAAATGTAACTCCATAATACCAGCCTTGTTCGGCAAGGGTGGAATCTGGACTTTTAAAGTCAGTTAACTCCCTTGCCTCGGGAAGATGGCAATTAGTATGGGTCAGGATAAGATAAAATATGTATTTTTTAGGGTTAAATATCCTTTATACTTATCCTGACACATACGCTAAAGGGCCAATCCAGCCATACCCGCTTCTAGTGAACGTGCTTTGCCCGTAAGGGTGAAGGAAAATTATGGAGTTATAAGTATACAGCCTTGGTCACGTGCTTCCGGTGCAGGGGTGCGTTTGGGTGAGATGTTTTTCTCTATTCTTGGGGTTTCCACTACCTTTTCGGAATGAGATGAGATGAGCAATTGGTATCAGTCTGGATAAAGTAAAATTAGGTCTTTATGTGTGCTTTGTGTGATTATATCGGATGATGTTTGTATTTAATGTCACTGCTAATTTTTCTCACTGACCGGTAGCGGCAGTGCCGTTGTAGCAGGCCACGGAGGCATCGGGTCCGCGGCAGTATCTGCTAGTAGGGACGTCATGGTGGCAGGTCACTAGGTTGTTTTCGCTTCCTGTACATTGGACATTTTCCATAACGCTATAGGACTGACTCCCGTACACCCCACAGCACAGGTTGAAGCCATTCTGATACCCAAGCTCCTTACAGGCCACGGCTGAATTTAAAGTGCGTTCGCATGAATCGACAATGTCCTCATCAATCTGACAAACAACCTGCACAGACAGGGATAAAGATAAATCAGGCGGTGGTTAGCCCTCTGGTTAATGTGGTGGCTCGTCAAGCGGTACCCCACGATCCGGGTTCGACTCCCTACACGGGTACAATGTATGGTGCATTCTTTGGTCAATCCGCCATGATTGAGCTTGCACACAGCTCAAGCTGAAAAGCTACTTACTTTCTTGTCATAAAAAATTGTTAAGCGTTCATATGAAGAAGCATACATCACAGACGGTGTTACTGCGGCGTTAAAAGCGGCGTAAAATCAAACTCACTCACTCACTAAGATCGCGCCATAGCTGTTGTAAGTATATGTGTTAAAGATGGCGAGTTTTGCCATAGATAAACTTGATTAATGGTCACTCACAAACGTCGGTGTCGCTCCAGCCATTGCTGCAGATGCTGCCCCAATTGTTGTTGGTGTTTACCTCGACCACACCCACGGAGAACTGGTTGCCGCGCATCAGTCGGACTGAAAGAAGCGTTTACTGACATTATAATCGTTAAATCGTTCTCTCAAACATGTTTGTTTCTTTTATGTATGAGGCCGGACCATTTAATATTTTTTGTGGTGGGGGGAGGGTTGCTGGGATGTATGTAACAGATATTCTGTTAATTAAATATGAAGTATAATTATGTTTTTCAAGAATTTTAGGGGACAATTTATTTTTTTCCATACGGTCCCAGCCCCACCCCCAAAATAAGCAGTGCACATTAACAGAATTTTTTCCCTACACATATAGAATTTACTGGTAACATTGCAGTCAATAATAATTTGATCTAATAATTTAATAGACCCATAAAAATCATGTCCGTACACTTTCCCGGGGGCAGTGAATCAGTACAGCTGAGTACATGCAGTGTGTACACATATTACCACAAGCTTCAGAAAATTGATTCCAAGAGGAAGAATAAATACTTTTGTTGTAGCAGACGACTCCCGCATCCCTAGAACATCCCCATCTGTAGTTCCAATATTTGGTGCATTCAAACAAGGATGCTTCTGAACCGCTGCATGACACATAGTTCATCCACACTTTGGTATTGTTGTTTTCAGTGACTGGTAATGCACTCCCATCCAGAAAACCTAGTTGACGACAGGCGATCTTAGCGTCGACGTCGCCCCAGGACCAGCCACACACACGCCCCAAAACGCCATTGTAGTTCACCTCTACACGACCATAGTAAGACCCACCATCAGCCAACCTTACAGAGGCGCCTGGAAAACAAAGCAAGGTTTTTAATAGGAGTTTCCCAAATAGCAGAGATACCGCTGACCACTAACGTTCTATACACATTGTATAGGACGAAATGCCTGCTATTCTGTTTATCGTTGACTTGCCTTTGCGTGTGTTTGTGACGGTGTCACTCAGGATACGCTCACCTTCTCGCAAATACTTGGTATCATCATCAGCATGTATTTATCCATAAACACATGCATGTGGTATAGTCGTTAACGAACAATAGATTCTGCTTTTAGGTGAGATTTCTTAAGCTTTCATAAAGTGTTATGGTAGACATGTGGAGGACATTTCCAAATTAGACGCACCAGTGACAAAAATTATGTCCGATGCAATTCCCAAATTTGACTTGTACCATATGTTCCCGTCTTTTTTCAGGTGAACAGTTGACTTGCCTTTGCATGTGTTTGTGACGGATGTCACCTGTGGGGCAGGATACGCTCACTTTTTCGTGAACACCTCGTATCATGACTATTTGATATTGATTCATAAACACATGCTCATGATATACTCGGAATCGCACAATCGACTCTGCTTTATGCAGAGATTTCTATGGATATCGAAAGGATTGTGTCGCTTTGACTGCCATGCCGAGTTACACAATGCAGTGTACTTAATGTTCAAGAGCAGACGAAAGCGCGATACAAAATAAAATGCTAACCATGCCAGTGACTTGTATTGGGGTCCTAAAGTGTAAGACACATATCTTACCATTTTCGTTATTATAGCAGAGGACACCAGCGCTCTGTCTAGATTGTCCCGGTGGGGAGTTGCAGCCGAGGTCAACTTTGTCGTCAAGGTCACTGAAAGGACAGCTGGTCAGATTAGTCTCTCCACCCTGACAGTTGAATTTTCCAACCAACATGGGAGTCGATGAGTAGATCTGCCCACTGAAGGTGACGCCACCAACAAAGCCCATAGAACGGCATGCAACGTCGGCGTCCTTATTGTTCCAGCCAACGTTGCAAACGGGTCCCCAGAATCCGTACCTATTGACCTGAATGGAGCCATAATCCCTGGAACTATATTGAAGACGGACAGCGGCGTCTGGAAGGTAAAGGAACGAGAGGTGTAACAGAAAGTGACCAGAACCTATAACACATGTAGCATGTAGCACCTCCTGCGTTAATGTTTCCGTATTAAATATAATGAATTTCCCTTAGTCTTGGTCTCCATTGTCTTAATTTTTCACATTATTTGTTTTTTCTGTTATGTTGGACAATTTCGGAATTAGTTTTGAAATAATACACTATGCATTCAAGAAAAAAGGTACTGTCTTCACATTATAAGTATAACTGGACCTGAAAGTGTCGCCGACCATAAAAAACACGGGTTTAGTTGAAGAAGAACATTAAAAAATTAATGACACATAAAGACGCAATATCACTGACAAACCATTTGCGAAGGTATAAATGAAGTGTATAGTTGGTACCGTTACGGCGTATGTTGTTGTAGGAGCAATAGACGGTGGCGTATTTGCCGGTAGTGCAGGTGCCAAAAGCAAGGTTGCAGCTGAGGAGGTCCGACTCAGTGCCAGTGCAACCATTGACGGTGACGGTGATGGTGGAGGCGTCGACATCTCCCACTGCGTTACAGCACTGAGACTTGCCGTCAGTGTAGCCTAGTTTCCTGCATACAACGCGGGCAGCAGTGTTGTCGAAGTTGTGGTCGCAGACGGGGGACCATTGGTTGTTCCTGTACACTTCGACACGGCCGTAGTTGACGGTGGAGGATCCCATTACACGAACTGGGGAGAAGGCGAAAATCATCTCAACCAATATACGTGAATATTCGGCTTGTGTTACTGTGTTCATGTTTTTATTTACTTTAATATTGTGTACTCACCGTTGTCATAACACATGATAGCATTATCCTTCTGGTGGTTAGAACAGCTGAAGTAGCTCTGCCTCCACCGAGACGCACACTCAGAGATAGATCTCTCCGTCCCTTTGCAGTTCAGACGGCTAAGATAGATGGTTCCACTTCCGGGGCCAAATGTTCCCAGACCCATGTGACGACCGGTGGTGTAGTTGAGCATGCGGCAGAGGACGTCGGCGTTTTTGTCCATGTACCACCCCGAGTATAGTGTACACATGGTACCCCAGGACCCGTCCACGCTCAGCTCAACCCGACCAGCAGACCCCGTCTTGTTTCCCAGGCGCACCTGTAGACCTTCAGGAAAATGAATGAGCGCATTAGTGTTTGAAGCGCATATCCGATAAACTGTCAGCTTAACAGTTCGGGAACAGGCAAGCCAGTTGTTGGACATGGTATCTTCGCCTCAGGGGCGATGAAACACGGTCAGCCATTTGACAGGTGAAAATATCTCATACACATGGTAACTTCAGCAGTAGTTCAGTTCTATCAGGTGTGACAGTTTATGTGGGAGGAAAACCCGAAGTAATGTATGCTATAAACGTTTAACATTTTCATGAAATGACCACGGCTTTGGTACCGCCAAACCAATAATAATAATAATAATAATAGTTCATTTATATGGCGCTGTACTCCACTCGCTCGTCGGACATACATTGGTTTAGTATACGTTTTATTCATTTTCTGTGTATAATCATATGTACAGTAGAACTTATTTCATTGCCTTCTTTCTCTTTTTATTTGATGTTTGGGGACACGGGTAGCCCAGTCGTCTTCAGTGCCATCGCTGGGCTTAGCTGCGTCCCTTGGGCACGACAGAAACCTATGATTGTGGGTTCGAATCCCGGTTCGCCCCGATTAAGTTTCTAGGTTTGTCAGCACCATACCCGTGCTCGTGGTTTTCACCGAAGTGGTAAACGTCTGTGACTTGCATCACTTCTGGCTTTCCTCCTACATTAAGCTGACACGCCGCGATACTGGAATATTGTTCAAAGCGGCGTTAAACCCAACTCAGTCACTCACTATTTCATGTGTAAACAGGTCACCATAACCCTTACATAAACTGGCCCATGGCATTAGATTCTGATGTCAATACCCACCACTAGTTTGGTAGCAGTAGACGGCGGCATCCCCTTGGGAAGAACAGTTGGCAGTGTCGCCGAACCGAACTCCAGCACAGTTAGAGAGGTAGGTTTCTGAGCCGTCACAGTTAATATTGGACAACCATCTCACTGTGGAAATGGTGTAGAAGGAGTAGTATCTGTTGTAGTAGGTGTAGGCGAAGCCGCCGGTGTATCCCTTTTCTCGGCAGATCACCATGGCCTCCCTGTCGTCGAAGCCGTCGGGGCAAATGTAGCCACTGATGCCCATGTGACCGATCGTGACGCGGCCCTGGTACGTGTTTTGTAGGGCGAGGGTGTACCCTGTAGGGAAACTCTTCTTGTGATTAACTTAGTTAGGCATGCAAACGGAATATTATATGTACTTAAAAGCAAGATAGTGTACTCTAAAGGTATTCTGTAAACGCTTCTTCACCATGAAGCTATACATTCCTTGCGTCTACTTCTCTGTGATCTGGACACGTTGCTCTATGCTTTCCGCTTTTACCAAGGTGTTCAATGATCGATCTATGATTGTGACATGGACCGCCACACCACCAGCTATTACCAATGTATTTGAGTCTCTCGTGGGTAGTTCTATCATTACCCTTGTTTTCTACACCAAAGAAGATCATTTCTGATGCCCACGTCACGATGTGACACAAATGTAAAGACAACAAAACTCTCCAAAATGAGACTGAATGAACGATGCATAAATATGATGTTTGAAGCCCGTTCTTACATACTCCAAGCGTTTTCATAACGTCAGAATTGTCAAAAACGATCAGATATGCTTTTTTCTCTTTATATCTACCTGATCGAGGGTTCGTGTTGGAGCAGACCGCCGAGGCATACTTCCTACTGGGACAGTAGGTCATGCTGATGTCATGAGGGCAGTCTCTGAAGCGAGTCTCGCGGCCTGTGCAGCGGACGTTAGTGTAGCCAATGCCGTAGTACTGTCTGCCGAAGGCGGAGGCACCGACACTGACGCCGTACAGGTAGCCAATCTGGTTGCACACAACTTTGGCGCTGATGTCGTTGAAGTTGTCGGCACATACTGTCTGGTAGCTGCTGACGCCGTCGTACACCTGAACAGCGCCATACTGTCTGTTTGGTCGGAGGCGAACTGAGAAGTGACAAGTTTTAAGTTCATTTCTACTGTCGGAAATGAAGAGTGATTCGTAAATAACTAACTTAAATTTCATAAATACATTATAAACTTAATTTTGGTCTTGCAAAAAAGGTGTAACCACTGACAACCATATCAAAATTAGTAACGCGACACTTGCTCACCTGGATATGTAGTCTAACAGCTTAATATGTCAACAAAGACAGCCACTTCAGAAAATTGTTCTCAGGCTGGATATTCAAATATGTTCTGCATATATACTGAGGAAATATTAACTATAAAATCTAAGGATTTGAACAAAACATAGTGTCATCATAACGACACACACAGGCCACGGGCTAGCTCAGTCTGACAACTTCAGAGAAAATTTCAGGGCCAGATATGCATTTTGAGATCAAGATCAAAGTTTTAAATATCGCAAAAAAACAACAACAGTAAACTACGGTTAAAACGAATTTTAAGGGACCACTAATTTTAGATTCGTTATAAACGTAGTTCGTTATAAACATATATACAACGTATGTTCAGCAAATGGTCGGGACAAAAAACCCAGCTTGGTATATCCGTCAGTTCGTTGAAAGCGTGTTCGTTATAAACGTAGTTTACTGTATATTGACTAACTACATATTCTACTAACTACACGTTCACAATACCATTACATTTTGAAGAGCCAAAAATAGCTTTTTCAATACATCTGAAATATACAAAAGCGTATTCGAACCTCATGAACATATTCAATCATTGATGGGGACAAGCAGAGGAGAAGATGTTTACAGTCCGAGGAAGTACATTTTATGAGATAATTTAGTCACTAAAGGTTAAGTTGACCGAACAGACAGCAAATAATCAACACTAGGTTTTCAAATTTCGAGTAATAGTTTACTGCTAAAGTGTTTTCTGAGCATATGTTGTTCACAGTGCAGGGAAAGCCATTTTGAGAGAATTAAGGAGCAAAGTCGATTTCAAAGGTGAAATCAAAATGAAAAATATCGAAAAAATCATTTGTTGATCCCACTATTATATACACATGCAGCAAATGTCATTACATTTTTAAGAAATGGCTGATCTGGTAATGGCCAAAACGAGGTCTTTCATTAACATATTCCTCAAAACCACCACGACAGCCATATTTATTGGCTTCAGTGCAAGGGAATTCATTTTGAGAGAATGTTTTAGCATGGTTGTAATGCAAAGGTCAAATTATGTGAAATAAATTAAATATTGCCCATAATGGAACCTACGCGTTGAGCCCCAGGGCTTACTACACATAGGAGGGCGTCCATTATATTTCGAATCTAAATGAATGAGTCATAGCCATAAGAAGTTTCAGCTTTCAATATTGTTGAAGTGCAAAGGTCAAATCGGGGCATCTGTTTTTAAATATCTGAAAAAACAGAACATCTTTGTTGAGCCCCACTACTAACTACACGTGAATTATATTTTGGAAATACATGGCTAATTATTGGCCCAAACTGCCGTGGTGGCCATATTGAAACTAGGATTCAAACCTCTTGAATACATTTGGGTGTCATCATTTCCGCCATTTTGGTCAAGTGGGTTTTCAGGAGACTTTCAGTCACGTGAGCCAAGAGCCTACATGGTTCGGGTTTAGTTGCACCTTACAGACTTAGTACCATTTGCTAGTTTGTTTGCAATTGCTGATATGACGCAAACCATGAGGTTTGGTTTGAGTCTCGATCAGACAATCCAGTGATTGACACCATGAGCATCGATCCACGCAATTGGGGTACGATTACATGCATCAAGTCAGCTATCCCGTTAGTCGCCTTTTACGACAAGCATAATCGCCATTTACGGCAACTTGGGCTGCTGAAGACCTATTCTACCCCGGATCTTCACGGGTGCAAGCCATGAGGTAACACGCAAGTTAACACCAAGAAAATATTGAAATACAATAAAATATACAATATCTCAATACCTGAACTACACAGATTTATTCACTGTGGGAATTCATGGTGGCTAACACCTGTAGTCGACCACAATATACATGCGTCATTATGGTGAGTATATGTGCACATACTCACCTAGACCAGAACACTGCACTCCAACGTCGTATCGGTGACCGTTGCAGGGGTAGCTGTTGGTGACATTGAACCTGCTGGATCGACAGTTCCATAGCGCCTTCTCTGTACCTGAGCACGTTGGAGAATACAACCACACGGGTCCAGTCCCTCTGCCGTAGGTGCTCGTGCTTTTACCGGAGCCATCAGGGTAGCCCAGGGACTTGCACACCACGCGTGCGCTGCTGGAGCTGAAGCTGTAAGCACAGACGCTGCCCCACACACCGCCGAACTGAACCTCGACGCGTCCAGCACTGTTGGATATTTGTCCGTTCTTTATCAGACGGAGGTTCACTCCTACCAAAGAAGTACAGGTGGAGGTCATTTAAGTGTTTAAGTAACGTGTAGGAATAGGAATATACCGATCGATACATATATAACTGCCATGCTATGTTGATGTTCCCTGTTCAGTTTACCTGTGTTGTCGTTGTAGCAGTAGACGTATGCAGCCTTGTAATAGGACGAGGCGCAAGAATACGGAAGGCTTGTAGAAACGGCGCAGTCCTGAAGCCTCGTCTCGTTACCGATACAGCTAGCCGCAAACAGGCGGGGAGGGGTGTTGTAGGCGTATCCCAAAGCGCCAAACGCCACACCCGACACGTATCCCTTGGATCGGCAAACCACCCCAGCTTCCTCGTCTCCCCACCCGTTATTGCAGACAGTCGCATTCAACCCCATCTTCTGAATCCTCACCATAGATGGGAAGGTTGTGCCAAGTACAACGTCAAAATCTGACATAGGGAGGAAAGTGCATGAAAAAGAATCATTTTCATATTCTCAAAAAGTTAATTCCCTCACGTGTCAATATATGGTAGTAAGCTTCCATTATGTTACAATAAATATCCCTTCATACGTAGGCAATACGTCAAATTATATATAAAGCTGTGTGTTTATTTGCTTTGGAACAGAATATATTTGAATATATATCTAGCGTGGGAAAATGCTGACGTTTACACGATGAACCTTTTTCCAAATGACATAGGACCTTAACTCACCGTTGGTGACAGGTTGCTTAGAGCAGATGACGCTGGCGTAATTGTTGTAGGGGTAGCGGTTGACGCAGCCGCCCACTCTGAAGCCGCAGTTGGCTACAGTGGTCTCTGAGCCGGTACAGTTCAAGTAGCTGATCGCGGCGGTATAATATTGAGTTCCAAACGTCCCCCTGGGAAGAGCAAAGCCATAAGGGTACCCCAGCTCCCTACACACGACTGTCGCATCGTAGTTGTCAAAGCCGCTGCCACAGATGATGCGCCAAGAGCTGTCTTTGTAGAACTGTACTATGCCAGTGGACGCATTTACATTCGTAGTGCCTCGTACAAGTTTCACTGGGGATGGAAAATGGACGTGAAGAAGATACATATATTTAATTATTATAATTATCACAGACATAACCTTGATACATTTTGGGCTGACATAGTTTTAGCTCTATTGTATCATCAAAGTCACCTTCACCTGCTGTTACAGGTAGCAAGAAAACAAATAAACATAACTTAACATCTTACATGCCTCCCATAAACCTTTCGCTGCATGACATGTCACAAGAAACTTATTTCAATATGGTTAATACTACAATGTAAGCACCATAAATATGATATTGGTACAATGTTCGAATTAACAGGGTTCGACCATGTAAAGTAAGGACTAGTGACCGCCCCCCTGGCCTGGTGGTAGAGCGTCCGCTCGGAGAGCAGAAGGTCGGGGGTTCCATTCCCGGCCGCGACACAAGACGTGACCTCATCTTACCTGTAAAGACTAGTCGTGTTCTACCATGATTTATTGTATTTGCTAACATTTTGTTGTGCTCCAATCTCATTAAAATCAGGTCTTAGTCCTCGCTATCGCTAAACAAAGATCTGAGGACATCCCATTACGGGTCACGTCAGAACGACCTTTCATCCGACCAATCAAAGCGTGGCTTACCAGATCATGAAAGCGGCAGTCGTAATGTGTTTTCTAGTCATGCAACCTCCAAAACGTTAACACGGGGTATTCCGAACAACAGTTACGACCGGTACGACTGATTCCGTCAAAATTATCATCTGTCTCTCGCTCCCGTGGGATAAACATTTGAACGGAGGAGACGTTGCACAGTACGTGGGAAGCACTGCCATACAATTTCAACCATATTTTAGACATTCCGGAATGTTCGTTGTTCAGTTTTCAAAATTTTAATCGAGAACTGTGTCAACATATTTTTCAAGCGTAGTCTGAAATGGAAGTCACCAGATTGAAACGAGTGCCGTAAAGCTCGAGAAAGCTGCTTTCTAATTGGCTGATGTCGACTTCCTGTTCGTCGTTTTAGTGGTCGGTCAAAGTTCGCGAAAAGTCGTTCTGACGTGACCCGTAAAGGGATGTCCTAAGATCTTTGTTTAGAGGCAGCGAGAACTAAGATCTGATTTTTATGAGATTGGTTATCCTTATTCGTACTTGCGCTGTATGCGCCGGCCATTTCAGTGCCATGTATACTAGAATATCGAGAGTAGGCCCCATTGGTTGATAGCAAAAGTTCCATACAGGCGGGTTAAATGGCACATTTTCATGACATATATTGTAAGCACCAATCCTCATGTGTAGGTATAACGTCACGCCTTGGAACCGGGCCGTGGAAAGTATCCCCCTGGTGATATATGTATATTGCGTAGGTTCGTGTTTTAATAGCATAATTACACCTACCATTTCCGTAACATTCGACGCCCAGATCGTTGGCGTGATTCTGACATCTGGTCGTGGTTGCACCAAACTTATTATTGACACACTGGAATATGCTTGACTCTATCCCGTAACAGTAGGGATTAGATAAGTACACTTGTCCACTTCCAGGGCCAAACGAACTGGTAAAAAAATATGGGTGGGCTTTTATTCTAAAATATCATCCTGCCAATGATAAGAATGATTCAAATGAGTAACTGTATCTATACTATCAATATATCCACGTTCTAACGTCCTAAATATCTATCATATTATGGGGTTGTTTCTTTGTTTGTTGTTTACGCAATATTAAAGCTACATGACGGTGGTTTGTAAATATTAATTTAGTCTTAACCAGACAATCCAGTGATTGACACCATGAGGATCGATCTACCAATTTGGATACGATGACATGCATCATCCAAGTCAGAGATCCTGACCACCCGAATAATTCTAACCTGAATCTTCACGGGCAGGTTAAAGCCGGTTCAAGTCGGATAAAGCCAACGGATAGAAACGTAGCCACGAGTGTAAAATCCTCTTTTTCCCCCGTCACGAGATGAGAGAAACATGATATTTCACAAGATACATGGTATATCCTATTTATTATACACTTTTTGTGTAGTTGTCTACCGGAAAACTAAATTATTTCAATACAAACGTAAAACCTTGATACACAGGTACGGTTCGCCACTCTTTGTATTTGTAACTAAAAAGTAGTTTCGTGTTTGCAAAATTATAAAGAAATATAAACAAAAGTAACAAATAAATTCTAGGTTACGAAAATTCTGTATCATACATATACAAACGATTCTATACAAAATCAACAAAAAATATTCTTGAAAAACTGGGACACCGCTGTTGGAAGCGAAAGAATACACGCTGGTCAAGTAACAAAAATGGCGCTTTGCGAAACGAGCAGTCTCGATCGACGAGTTGAATGAGAAGTTTACAGTTTATAGCGAAACATTTTCGAGAGAAAAACAAACGGCAAGAAGTGATATTAACTCCATAAATGACCATATGTTATTATTTTGCATTGTAAATGTGGAACTAACGTAAAAAGAACGTCAACCGTTTGTGTTCGGGCTAGACACTTACGGTAAAGGGAGACAATTTAAGGGGACGTAACTCTTGTTTGACAATAGTTCCGTCATACTGTTGTGTTCACTGCAGTGAAAATATCACTTTTCTCAACTTCAGAAGACTCGTTCTTTCATTTCTTTCCCACTGAAGTATATAATAAACCACGCTTCGTTCTTCATTGATCTTTTCGATTTATCGCGTAGCTATCTTCTATATATATCAATACAGTAGCTCGCATCAATATTTTCTACATCACAAAATAGTCGTTCCTGTAAATATATCCTACATAAAGATACAGTGGCCCCCGTCAATATATCCTGCATCACAATACAGTAGCTCCCGTCAATATATCCTACATCACAATGCAGTAGCTCCAGTCAATATATCCTACATCACAATCGGTAGCTCCTGTCAATATATCCTACATCGCAATACAATAGCTCCAGTCAATATATCCTTGATCTCAATTCACTAATTACCGCCAATCCGAAAACCCCACCCACTTACCTTGAGGCAATACCGTCATTGAAGCCCAGTTGCCTACACACAGCTTGTGGGACGTTCGGTGAACGATAACTGTAGCACACGGTGCCTCGCACGCCCTCGTAGATGATCTCTACCCTCCCTGACATCGCAGTTCCTCCAACCAGCTCCAAGCGGGTTGCTGTAGCGGATCAAGTATGTAACGTAGAGAACGAGATCATTAATACCACCGTAACCTTGATGGGCATATATTGTATGGATCATGGTGTGTGTGTGCGTGTGTGCGTGCGCGCGCGTGTATGTGTATTGGGGCAGGTCAATTATAAGAACGAGCTTGTTTTCTCAAATATAATGATTTAAATCTTCCAAATCTTCTAACAAAAACGTTGCACCTTTTTTTTAAATGACTGATGAGTACTCATAAGATAATAATCTTCTCCAAATCAACGGAATTAAATGTGTGGAAAGGATAACGATTTGCCTTTCAGAAACATTTATTATGAAGTAAAAAAGGCCATGGTATTGATTTTAAAGTCCTCTACGTTCATGGTCTCTGTAGGGAAGTTGGAAGTCGTTCAACTCACGATTGTTTCTGTAACACAAAACACCTGCGTCGAAATCAGCATAATTCCGAGATGTGCAGACCTCACTTCCGGTGGCACAATTAAACAGAGAGGTCTCGTTGCCGAAGCAGTTCACCTCGGACAACAGGAACGGTCCAAAAGCTCGTGTGTAGAACTGATAGCTGACACCACCCGCCATTCCCAGTTGGCGGCAGACGACACCTGCGTCTGTGTCATCCCAATTCACCTCGCAGATTCTCCCGGAAATTCCAGACTTTGTAACTGCCACGTGGCCCGTGACAGAACTATACTGGTCAGGTCCGCCAGTGAGCTTGATAGAAGTGTCTGAAAGTTAAATAGGGTATGATACCTTAACAATTATTCATAAACACCTAGGAGTTCAAATGTACTGTCTTCGTATATAGAGAATAACTTGTGTCGATTATGTGCCGAACAGATTCCATTTGGGGTAAAAGGCCCCAAAAGGTGATGAAGAGAGAGAGAGAGAGAGAGAGAGAGAGAGAGAGAGAGAGAGAGAGAGATGGAAAGAGAAAGAGAGAGAGAGAGAGAGAGAGAGAGAGAGAGAGAGAATGGTTGATAGTGCAGCGGGCATATAATGTCGATCCACGGCCCCCCTGATACGAGGGGCCAGACCTGGTCGGCAATGGTTATCATGTGTCATCTGTAGGATGACTCCACACCCTGATACATCCTCCCCAAACAACAGACAGTGATACGAACGTGCTCAGCCCCACGTTGGGCCACAGTGTCGTGGACATGTCCGCTTCCCGTGATGGGACCTTTTGATCCGAGGTCAGACGCCTTGTGAGCCTTGTCCATATGACCTAACTCCGACAGCAAGCTTACAAAGTACATATGTCACCTGATGACTCGCAACATAAGTATCGGCGTCGAGCTACAGTGACTGCTACGACACATGGTCCGGCATGTTACATATCTTATGGTTGGCAATGTTGCAACCAATCAAGTCACCATCCTCAACAGACCGCATGCAAGTTGGTTACCCATTCCAAGTATCTAAGCAGGCTCACACAAGAATGTCCCACCCGAGAACAGAATCGTTTGGTTTCCGTTACTTACTTGTATTTAGAGTGCCATTGTAGCAGGAAACTGACGCATATCGGGTATAGCCCTGACGACTGCATGTCCCACTTCCCAACGTGCAATTACTGATTGAGGCCTCGTTACCAGTGCAGGTGATGTTGCTGCCTAAGTAGTAGTAGTAGTAGGTGCCATAGGATCCCCTTGGCAAGGCTCGGCCATTCTGGAAGCCAAGTTCTCGACAGACGACTTTTGCAGCCGTGTCATCAAAGCCAGTTCCACAAAGGGGCTGCCATCTCGAGTACCTTCCGACCTGCCTCCAGATGAGGACTACACCGTGGCCATGATCTCCTCCGTATAATCTCACTGAAAACGACGTGAAACTCACACTTAAAATGAAATATTTTCAGAAAGGAATGTGGGACATTTTCTTCATCAAAGTGTCCCTCTCTTCCCCATTCTTACGAAAATACTGAATCCGTGGTTTGATTGACTGGACACCCTAACAACCCAGAGCTACGTTCCGACCCCTTTACAAATCTGTCTACAGTTGGTGCCTAAAACCGCTGGTGTTCAAAAAACAAAATATCAGGACCAAAGTGACAAATGTCCTCGCCTTTTTCGCGCAGGTTGGAAACAGCCGTGTTGTATGTAAAAATAACAATGCGTTTACCATTTGTCCACCAATATGATGACGGCATGTACATAATCTAGTCTGTATCAGACAAACCAGTGATTGATAGTATGAACAACGTTCCGCGACGCATATATTAAAATATAAAGAGATTGGTGCTTAACCATTTTGTCCGGGTGTATATTTCATGTATCAGACAAACAAGAGCGTTATCGTTGTCCCCTTTGGTAAGGGTTAGTCAAAGGATTTTGTTTAAGATTTCTAATTTACATTCATTGAAGCAGGTGACTGAAGCGTCCTTCGAGTGGTCGACACAGGATGATGCAGGATTCCTCCAGCCTCGGTTACGACAGGACCACAGTGTCTGTTCAGATCCCCCACAATATAAACGATCCATAAAGATGGGACCGCTCCCTCTCCCGTAGTACGAAGCTGGTTGGAAACAAAGCCAGGAATGCAAGTGTTATTGAGATTTGTCAGTGAAAAGCTTAGATTACATTTCCTTAGAAAGAAAACAATTCTGTGGATCGGAGAGATAGAATTACAACGGTGTAATATCGTGCAGATTTAAAATACACAAAGATGTAGCCTACCAGTCAGGTAGTTTCCGTCCTTGAAGCCTAACATTTGGCAGACAACTCTTGCATCTCCGTTCGTGAAGCTGTTGTCACAGACTGTGCCTGTCTCTCCGTCGAGGGTGATTTCCACTCGGCCGTGGCTGGAATCTCCACCAGCAAGGCTGAGTTGTGGAGGACCTAGAACGACATGTATTGGAGATTAGAGTCCGTGAACCCGTCCCCATAATATCTTCCCAGAATTCGCACAGTTTAAATGTGCACGACAACAAAAAGGAATTTTTTACGACCATTTCTATTTTTTCGCATGTATGATTGTGGCGCTGTGTATTATACAGTAGATATGCCAATGACATATATATTTTTATTTATTGTAACGACCACGTTATGACCTTTCACCTTCACATAATCTTTGTAAAACTAACACTAAAGGTTGGACATCTCCCATGAAACGACACGTCCCGAAGCTAAGTAATATTGTGTATGGAAGAGCCCAGTAATGATCTTGGAAAACTGGATCCCAGAAATTGATGTGATGTTTTTATTTTGACAGATTAAGTGAAGACATCACTTCTACAAGCATTTGTAATTGTAATGATATTAGAATGTACGTATGATGACACATGGCCATCTGATACAGCTTCGACTGGACCAATTCGAAGAAGTGCAAGCATGGGTCTCTACTCTGTTAATAATGTCTTATTGGGAAGCTAATTTCTATCTGTGTATATCAAGGTAGCGTTTTACTATTGCAGAAGGCTTAAAATCTTTAGACCCGAGATTAAAAAAGGAAACTAACTCAACGGATAGGTACAGAAGAAACATTGATTGTTTAGAATACAATAGACACAAGATGAATAGGTGTCTTCATACTTCGCCATAATCAAACTTTAATAACAAACATGACTCCCGTTTCACCAGAACTGTCTCAACATTTAGGTGACGGACGAAAATTATTTAATGTCTAAACTTACCGGTATTGTAACAGAGGACATTGGCAGGATAGCAGGAGCCTGTTGGTACTCCCCAGACGGAGGAAACACATTGGTCCAGACTCGTCTCCTGGCCAGTACAGTTCACTGACGTGATCCACACAGGAAGGTCAGTCCTTGCGTACGTAGTGCCGTAGGTGACACCGCCTCTGAAGCCAAGATGCTTGCACACCACGTTGGAGGCGTTGACGTTCCAGTTGCTGGCACAAATTTTACCCGCAACCCCGAGCTTTGTGACTTCAACTTGCCCTGACACGTCTGTGCCGTTTACAAGACGAAGGCTGAATCCTGTAATTGAAGTGATTGGACCAATAGGCTCCCCTGGATATGCGTACACAAACATCTGCATCTTCAACACACTACCATCCTCCATAATGATACAACCAGTTAAATATTGACACTATGTTAAATGACGAGTAATATGCTTCGAAAGCGCATGTGACACATTTTAGTTATCATTCGCGACTCCAGATGAAAATTGCTGGTGCGGCATGTAATATAAACTCACTCACTCACTCACTATTACCATTCACAAAAGCTTTCTTTGGGCCTTATTGTTTTGGGGGGAAATGTTTAGAAACGACAAAAAGTAGCCTTTCCTTCATCTTCCCGAGGCAAGAGCGTCCACTAGCCTGTCTCTCGCTTCCGTGGGATAAACATTTGAACGGAGGAGGCGTTGCACAGTACCTGGGAAGCACTGCCTTACAATCGCAACCATATTTTAGACATTCCGGATTGTTCGTTTGTTCAGTTTTCAAAATCTTAATCGAGAACTGTGTCAACATATTTTTCAAGCGTAGTCTGAAATGGAAGTCGCCAGGTTGAAACGAGTGCCGTAAAGCTAGAGAAAGCTGCTTTCTAATTGGCTGATATCGACTTCTTATGAGTCGTTTTAGTAGTCGGTCAAAGTTCGCGAAAGGTTGTTCTGACGTGACCTTAATGGGATGTCCTCAGATGTCCTCTTTGTTTAGAGGCAGCGAGAACTTAGATCTGATTTTAATGAGATTGCTAGCCTTTTTAGTAGGCTTTGATAAAGTCTAGTGGTCACTCTTTACACAGGTATACTAGGCATTGAGGCATGAAGAGCTAACAATACAGCACTCGGCACCTAGGTGTTATCTTCTTTGCAGCCTACTAGATCCAGGTGAGCCAATGATAAGCACACTCTTACCCATCTCAACTTCACCCTTCGGTTGAGAGTAGCAGATTGCTGACGCGAATCGTTTATAACTGCAGTCTCTGTTACGCAGTTGATTTGTGCAGTTGAAGATGCTAGCTTCGTTCCCAGAACAGTTAAAGTTCGTCCTTGAGCGCCTTGTGTACAGGGTTGGATTACGGGTGTAGGGGCTGAGTTTACTGCAACACAGAGCTGACCCATCCCGGTAGCCCAGAGACCTGACGATATAAATAGAGTTTCCGTGACAATTGATTGGCTAACCAAACAGTTTCGTTCATAAACCGAAAACATAGGCTGAGTTCACCGACTACTTGTTCCTGATTGGCTGATAATATAACAGGCGGAGTTTGTGCTGTATTACTGCGCTGACTGTATCACTGATCGCGTGCTTTTGTCCACAGTTGTTGAGTGTTAATGGTTAAATAATCAGTCTGTGAAGTTACAAGTGCTGACGTATTTATTTTTCTAAAATGACGTTAATGAAATTCCGTTTATGGAGTTGTAAACAAACACACCGATGTGCACACTTTGCGTAAATCCGCGAAAATATTTGAGTCAAATTCTTGAATAACTGACAAAACAGATTACCATACATACATCCAGTTATGGAGGTACATTGACCTGATTCCTGTGATAGGAAGACTAGCTTGTGGTGTTACCTGAATCATTTTCTACCAATTGGTGCTGAATCTACTGTATGGATGAATCTCCATCTGTACCTTGATGTTTCACATGTTTCATACCTGGTGTTGTGTATCGGGAGCCAGAGATGCCCACGAGCAGGCTATCAGAAAGTTAATTTAACTCAAGCTGGGAACCATTACCACCACACAGGGTCATGATCTCCATGTTAACGCCACATCTGGTGACCCAAGACACATGGGGGGCGGTCGGGTAGCCTAGTGGTTAAAGCATTCGCTCGTCACGCCAAAGACCCTGGTTTGATTCCTGACATGGGTACAATGTGTGAAGCCCATTTCTGGTGTCCCCCGCTGTGATATTGCTGGAATATTGCTAAAAGCGGCGTAAAACCATACTTACTCACTCACTCACTCACTCACTCAAGACACATGGTGAGGTGAGGTGAGGTGACATGGGGTTTAACGTCGCGTCCAAGATTATTGCACTTATATAGCGACGTGCATGTACGTGTGTGTGTTTGTGTGGCTGCTTGTACTACTCCGGACTGATACTGATTTATAGTGCTAGCTCACTGAGATACCATGCCGCAGTTTAACGTGAATACCCCACTCAGACACAGTATACTGACTCCGAGCCGACCTGTCCTTGTTTTAGCCCCTCAATGGCGAGCGCCAGACAGGGTAACAACAAGTACCATCTTTTAACGTCTTTTGATATGACGCGGCCGGGGATCGAACCCCGGACCTTCCGCTCTCCGGGCGGACGCTCTACCACTAGACCACGGAGGCGGTCCCAAGACACATGGATGTCAACGTCCGAGTACATACGTTTGAAGCCTACTTCGTGCTCCTTCATCAGGCTACTCCAACAAATCGAGCAGTGAAACATTCACCTGGATTAAGATGCAATAAAAAGCCCTGAAATGTTATGTATAAAGAATAAACACTTTCAGATCCATATATCCTAGGTCTCTTTGAACCACAAGCTAAATGTCTATCAAAGACGTCTGGTGAGTAACGGTTGTTATATACCAAATACCTGCACAAAACCTGGGCATCTCTGTCGTCCCAGCTAGAGTCGCACACTGGTTTCCAGCCGGTCGGATCTCGGTATTGCACAGCACCAAACGATGTGGAAGGCGCTCTGTTCCCGGAGACTAGCGTGTTGCCAACCAAACGGACTGCAAAGTAAGTATTCAGGCATAAGTGGCTACATTTTCCTTTCAATTAACACACATGTAACGCATGTTCGGTGATGTTCAGATGTACTAGCTATGTATGTCTTTGGGACAGACACCCAATATGTTTCTAGGACTGTCGGTACCATTCCCGTGCACTTAAGTGGTAAACGTCTGAGACTTCGGGTTTTTCTCCCCCATTAACCTGATGTAACTGGAATTCTGTTAAACCGAACTCACTCATTCACAAAGAAGATGCAAATTATGAAAACGACTCTTTAATTATTCCAAGCAAGACCCGTAAAAAACGTTTTAATGTTCAATATGTAACAAGACATTGTCCGATCATCTATACTGCGTGTATGTGTTACATAAACAACCCTGTCTGGGCCCACTTGCACAAAGCGATCTTAGCGCTACGACTATTGTAAGCCTATGTTAAAGTATGGTAGTTACGATCATCTTAGCGCTAAGATCCCTTTGTGCAAGTGGGCCTTGTTGTTTATTGCTGCACTCAGCAATATTCCAGCTGAAAGACGGCGGTCTGAAAATAATCGAGTCTGGACCAGACAATCCAGTGATTGACATCATGAGCATCGAACTCATTTGGGATACGATGACATGCATCAACCAACTCAGTAAGACTGCCCACCCGATCCCGTTAGCCTCCTCTTACGACAAGCGTGGGTTGCTGAAGACCAATTCTACCCCGGATCTTCAAGGGGGACAAGCGTTGGTTGCTGAAGACCAATTCTAACCCGGATCTTCACGGGGGACAAGCGTGGGTAGCTGAAGCCCATTTTTAACCCGGATCTTCACGGGTTAGCAACACCCCTGCAAAACGTTAAGGTTATATTGGAATGTATAGTGTTGAAACTCACAGTTATCGTTGGAACAAGACACTCCCGCATCTCTGTTATGGCTACGACAGTTGTGATTGGCCCAGCCAGCATACGGACATGAGGCGAGCGTGTTCTCATTGCCTGTACAATGTACGTTGTCCATGTAGATCATGCCGCTCCCACCGCCGTAGTTATAGAGGGCCTTTGGAAAAGCGATAATTGCAATAGTCATGTGTAGATTGTACATGTCAAGGTTCCCAATCAATATTGTTTTGAAATGAAATAGAACATGAATATGCCTATGAAAATAGGTGACCATTTTGGCACATCTTATTCCTCCATTTAATATTGGGTGAAGTTTGAACAAGTGTGTTGCTCAGTGATGGTGAGGAACTGTCAAGCAACTGGTATTTCTTTTCACGATAGAAACTAGAATGCGTGCATCGCCAGTACCTCATGAGCGCGCCTGCCCTACGTTTGATGAAGGAACACATGTCAGTACCTCACGACAGTGTACGCCCTACGCTTCATGAAGGAATTTATGTCAGTACCTCACGACCGTGTATGGTCTACGTTTGATGAAGGAACGCATGTCAGTACTTCACGACCGTGTACGCCCTACGCTTCATGAAGGAACGCATGTCAGTACCTCACCAGCGTGTATGGCCTACGTTTAATGAAGGAACACATGTCAGTACCTCACGAGCGTGTATGCCCTACGTTTAATGAAGGAACGTATGGCAGTACCTCACCAGCGTGTATGGCCTACGTTTAATGAAGGAACGTATGTCAGTACCTCACGAGCGTGTATGCCCTACGTTTGATGAAGGACGTACATGCCGGTGTGTGTGTGTGGCTGCTTGTACTTGTCCGGACTGATGCCGATTTATAGTGCTTGCTCTATACCATGCCGCCGTTTAACATGAATACCCAACTCAGACACAATATACTGACTCCGAGCCGACCAGTCCTTGTTTTAGCCCCTTAATACCGAGCGCCAGACAGGGTAACAACAAGTACCATTTTGTAACGTCTTTTGGTATGACGCGGCCAGGGATCGAACCCTGGGCCTTCCGCTCTCCGGGCGGACGCTCCACCACTAGACCACGGAGGGGGTCAAGATCAATATGTAAAGCTCAGACATTAAATAACTCAAAGTAACACCACACTTTTCGCTTCATAAAATCGAGTGGTCCAGATATCTTCACTGTCGCATGTATTTTAGTTTTCAACTATTTTCAGTAAGAAGATGTTGTGAATTTAGATCCAAAACTCGGGTCAAACATCTCATTTGTTTATATATTAATTTACATACCGTCCCCCAGCGGTAGCCCAGCATTCGACAGGTGACAGTAGCATCTTTGTTCCCCCAGTAATCGGAACACACTGTTCCCCATGGCGATGTAGCGTTGTTTCTGACTTCCACTCTACCATAGGTCGCAGAAGTGCCAACAATGCGGACTAAAATTGCTGAAATAAGAATTTAAAAAGTGGCATCAGGTTACTACATTCATTGGGACCATGGGTGGCCAAGTCGTCGACGTCCCCGCAGGTCGTGGTTCCAGGAGCCAGGGGTCGTGGGTTCGAATCCAAGATTCGTCCTTAATATGGTCCTTCGTTCGTCAGCTCCAGTTCGTGCTCGTGGGTTTCACCTCAGGGTAGACGTACAGGGTATACAATACTGTGGACTTTCTTCCGACATAATGGGGCGGTGGGAGTAGCCTAGTGGTTAAAGCGTTCGCTCTTCACGCCAAAGACCCGGGTTTGATTCCCCACAGTGGTACAATGTGTGAAGCCCATTTCTGGTGTCCCCCGCCGTGATATTGCTGGAATATTGCTAAAAGAGGCCAGACTCACTCACTCACTCACTCACTCACTCACTCACTTACTCACTCACTCACTCACTCCGCCATTATGCTGACGCATTGTACAGCTTGTGTTAGAGGCAGACATGTTTTCGGTCACTACTTCAAAAGTACTTACACAAAAAATGTATGGCCTTTTCTTTTAATGTTGTTTTGAGTCAAGAAAAGAATAGATGTTTTGAACTAATGTATATATAGCGATTTCGATTAGTGTCTAGATTAGGTCTTCAGCAACCCATACTTGCCGTAGAAGGCGACTATGCTTGTCGTCGAAGGCGATTAACGGGATCGAGTGGTCAGGCTCGCTGACTTGGTTAATACATGTCATCGATCCCAATTGCGTGGATCGATGCTCATGATGTCAATCACTGGATTGTCTGGTCCAGACTCGATTATTTACAGACTGGAATATTGCTGAGTGCGGCGTTAAACAACAAACAAATCTTACAGCGGCCCGACTCGATTATTTTACAGACAGCCGTCATATAGCTGGAATATTGCTGGGTGCGGCGTTAAACAACAAACAATCAAACAAATAGTGTCTAGTGTCTGATGATCACTACGTCAGATTAATTAATCGAAGAATGTTATAGGCATTTACATATTGCTGGAGTGCTGTATAGGATAATTCAGCTGAGCGCGGGGGCAGGAATAGCAATACAGAAGGGGAGTGTATTGGTAATTGTGACAGGTAAACGTGTGATAATGCGGTGATTATGACCATAATACACAGGGCAAAAGAGTGGACCCTTAAGTATAGAATCAGCCATGTCAGGTGTGGGTTAATGTAATGTAATCAGGAGACATCTTGTCATGCATGAACATGTGTTTGGCATGGTAGTTACTGTGGCGCATGTTTGTCAGTACAGGCGATTGTTGTAACACGATAGGCCCTGTATAATGTCTAACACGCCTCTTGTTGGGTAACTTTATCTGGCCATAGGTAATCACAGGGGCGTTTTCACAGGTACGGGAGATGTCGAGATGTGTCGGGAGGTGTCGGGAGATGTCGGGAGATGTCGGGAGATGTCGAAAGGTGTCGGGAGGTGTCGGGAGATGTCGAGAGGTGTCGGGAAGTGTCGGGAGATGTCGGGAGATGTCAGGAGGTGTCGAGCCAAGAGCAGACAACACGGGAGATAGCAGTTTTGATGGTAGACAAATACAACACTAGAGGATATCACTTCAGCTATGGCGACAGTTTGTGTTCCAGAATATAGTTGGAAAAAGTAGACAGACCTATGTGGATTAACTGGACTATTGATAAAGTTCCAGTACATGGAAGACGTGCATGGGTTAACTAGGGTATTAAAAAATTATATGGGAGACGTGCATGGGTTAACTGGGATATTGACAAAGTATATGGGAGACGTGCATGGGTTAACTGGATATTGACAAAGTATATGGAAGACGTGCATGGGTTAACTGGATATTGACAAAGTATTTGGTAGACGTGCATTGGTTAACTGGGATATTGACAAAGTATATGGGAGACGTGCATGGGTTAACTGGATATTGACAAAGTATATGGGAGACATGCATGGGTTAACTGGATATTGACAAAGTATATGGAAGACGTACATGGGTTAACTGGATATTGACAAAGTATATGGGAGACATGCATGGGTTAACTGGATATTGACAAAGTATATTGAAGACGTGAATGAGTTATCTGGATATTGACAAAGTATATGGTAGACGTGCATGGGTTAACTGGATATTGACAAAGTATATGGAAGACGTGAATGAGTTAACTGGATATTGACAAAGTATATGGTAGACATGCATGGGTTAACTGGATATTGACAAAGTATATGGAAGACGTGCATGGGTTAACTGGATATTGACAAAGTATATGGTAGACATGCAGGGGTTAACTGGATATTGACAAAGTATATGGAAGACGTGCATGGGTTAACTGGATATTGACAAAGTATATGGGAGACATGCATGGGTTAACTGGATAGTGACAAATCATATGGTAGACGTGCATGGGTTAACTGGATATTGACAAAGTATATGGGAGACATGCATGGGTTAACTGGATATTGACAAAGTATATGGAAGACGTGCATGGGTTAACTGGATATTGACAAAGTAGATGGGAGACGTGCATGGGTTAACTGGATATTGACAAATCATAAGGTAGACGTGCATGGGTTAACTGGATATTGACAAAGTATATGGGAGACATGCATGGGTTCACTGGATATTGACAAAGTATATGGTAGACGTGCATGGGTTAACTGGATATTGACAAAGTATATGGTAGACATGCATGGGTTAACTGGATATTGACAAAGTATATGGAAGACGTGCATGGGTTAACTGGATATTGAAAAAGTATATGGGAGACGTGCAGGGGTTAACTGGATATTGACAAAGTATATGGAAGACGTGCATGGGTTAACTGGATATTGACAAAGTATATGGGAGACATGCAGGGGTTAACTGGATAGTGACAAATCATATGGTAGACGTGCATGGGTTAACTGGATATTGACAAAGTATATGGGAGACATGCATGGGTTAACTGGATATTGACAAAGTATATGGAAGACGTGCATGGGTTAACTGGATATTGACAAAGTATATGGAAGACGTGCATGGGTTAACTGGATATTGACAAAGTATTTGGTAGACGTGCATTGGTTAACTGGGATATTGACAAAGTATATGGGAGACGTGCATGGGTTAACTGGATATTGATAAAGTATATGGGAGACATGCATGGGTTAACTGGATATTGACAAAGTATATGGAAGACGTGCATGGGTTAACTGGATATTGACAAAGTATATGGGAGACATGCATGGGTTAACTGGATATTGACAAAGTATATGGAAGACGTGAATGAGTTATCTGGATATTGACAAAGTATATGGTAGACATGCATGGGTTAACTGGATATTGACAAAGTATATGGAAGACGTGAATGAGTTAACTGGATATTGACAAAGTATATGGGAGACATGCATGGGTTAACTGGATATTGACAAAGTATATGGAAGACGTGCATGGGTTAACTGGATATTGACAAAGTATATGGGAGACGTGCAGGGGTTAACTGGATATTGACAAAGTAGATGGTAGACGTGCATGGGTTAACTGGATATTGACAAATCATAAGGTAGACGTGCATGGGTTAACTGGATATTGACAAAGTATATGGGAGACATGCGTGGGTTAACTGGATATTGACAAAGTATATGGTAGACGTGCATGGGTTAACTGGATATTGACAAAGTATATGGGAGACATGCAGGGGTTAACTGGATATTGACAAAGTATATGGTAGACGTGCATGGGTTAACTGGATATTGACAAAGTATATGGGAGACGTGCATGGGTTAACTGGATATTGACAAAGTATATGGTAGACGTGCATGGGTTAACTGGATATTGACAAAGTATATGGTAGACGTGCATGGGTTAACTGGATATAGACAAAGTATATGGGAGACGTGCAGGGGTTAACTGGACATTGACAAAGTATATGGGAGACGTGCAGGGGTTAACTGGATATTGACAAAGTATATGGGAGACGTGCATGGGTTAACTGGATATTGACAAAGTACATGGTAGACATATGAGGGTTACCTGGAGTAGAGACAAGGTATAACAAAAATTATTACTCGCCAAAACAAGTAGTGAAAACATGTTACTGTCTATTACTACAAGTCGTGTTTGTCATATATTGCCAACCGTCCTTACAACACTGTACTGACAATATCAGAGTCCATCACAAGTATATATAAATACAAGACCACTTCACAGTATGGAGACATGTCGAGGCACAACAAATACCGTACAGGTGTACCCCCGGCCACGTGTAGAAATAACACTGTCACAGTCTACTCTCGTGTCTGTTCATGGTTATTTTATCATTATTAACGTAGATACGTCGCGCCTCTGGTGAACAACATACATTTACCCCTAACTCGAGCACTACCCTACCTACCCCTTCCTTACCCTTTTGCTATCACTATCTTACCGTACACCACCTACACGATACCCTACGGCGTGAGCATACAGATGCATATATAGACATGGTAACTGTATATCTAAATGCATATATCCTGCTCGTTTGAAAGATTTTACAAACACATAACAACGCGATTCTTATGGAACTGTAAAAGTGGACTTACTGCTAGGTCGTTGTGTGTTAACACTGACCACAATGGCCAGTGCTAGGACCAGACATAGATGGTGGTCCATCTCAGACAAGATGTACACTCCGTCGGCGGTCACCTCTTACCGTAATGGACCAGGTCTGACTGACTGCAAAGGTGAGTGTGAATTTATCACATGCAACATACGCCCCCTAATTTATAATCCTCTTGTAATTTCTAGTATCATCGTGTGTGAAACACGGATGTGCCAGACCATCCTCAGTAAGTCACATGTCAAAGGTTTTGTCATCTAAGTTTCATAATGCACGAGTGTCGATGTCCACAGGTCGATTTCATTTTCTTCTAATCGAATTAAGTGATCTCGCAGTTATTACCCGATACCCACGAGTCGGACATTAGTAAATATAACATAAGCAATAGAGGAGCCACATGTAGTTGGATTCGGTTGAAAACACATATAACAGATGCATTTCGGTGTGCGGAGCTTCATCATTGCTGCTGTACAGTAGAGACGCATATGAGAGGTGCGATGTGCGGAGCTCCATCATTACTGCTTTTTATGTGTTTGTTTTGTTTTTGTTTAACGCTGCACTCAGCAATATTCCAGCTATAAGACGGCAATCTTTACATAATCGAGTCTGGACCAGACAATCCAGTGACTGACGTCATGAGCATCGATCCACGCGATTGGGATACGATGACATGCGTCAACCGAGTCGTTAGTCGCCTCTTACGACAAGCACAGTCGCCTTTTACAGCACGCATGGGTTGCTGAAGACCTGCCCCACCCCGGATCTTCACGGGTCACATTGCTGCTGTACGGTGGAGACATATCATGCAGGAACACGCCTCTGGTTGTTGCGGCGGTGTATTGTAACACGAGGAACATATGCTCATTTCACAACTACTAAATCCTGTAATGTACTCTGCATGGTGTCAGGTTGTAGTGTGTTCTACTTTGCATAAAGGAATATCAACTGTGTTGAACGTAAATTAAGAACTAGAATTAATCATTTTTCACATCAAGTGTGTCCATTTCATTTCACTATACAAAATTGTATTGTCCGGGTAAACTAGAATTCTCATGAATGATAAATATTCCAGACTGATTAACAGAACATTTGACCATGACCTTTGACTTTGATGACACATGCATGTCAGGCGCTGTTGAGCTATAGACATGTCATCGCCATGGGAGCTGTGTCAGTGAATACGAACTGTTACTGACACGTGTAAGGCAAGGCGTAGTCCAGTGGATCATATCCTATCAATACCCATGCCTGGGAACACCACAAGACACCACACACAAGAACTGGTGCTATCCTATCAATACCCATGCATGGGAACACCACAAGACACCACACACAAGAACTGGTGCTATCCCATCAATACCCATGCATGTGTACACCACAAGACACCACACACATAAACTGGTGCTATCCTATCAATACCCATGCATGGGTACACCACAAGACACCACACACATGAACTGGTGCTATCCAATCAATACCCATGCATGGGTACACCACAAGACACCACACACAAGAACTGGTGCTATCCTATCAATACCCATGCATGGGTACACCACAAGACACCACACACATGAACTGGTGCTATCCTATCAATACCCATGCATGGGTACACCACAAGACACCACACACATGAACTGGTGCTATCCTATCAATACCCATGCATGGGTACACCACAAGACACCACACACAAGAACTGGTGCTATCCTATCAATACCCATGCATGGGTACACCACAAGACACCACACACAAGAACTGGTGCTATCCTATCAATACCAATGCATGGGAACACCACAAGACACCACACACAAGAACTGGTGCTATCCTATCAATACCAATGCATGGGTACACCACAAGACACCACACACAAGAATTGGTGCTATCCTATCAATACCCATGCATGGGTACACCACAAGACACCACACACAAGAACTGGTGCTATCCTATCAATACCAATGCATGGGTACACCACAAGACACCACACACAAGAACTGGTGCTATCCTATCAATACCCATGCTTGGCTACACCACAAGACACCACAAGACACCACAAGTCACCACACACATGAACTGGTGCTATCCTATCAATCCCCATGCATGGGAACACCACAAGACACCACACACATAAACTGGTGCTATCCTATCAATACCCATGCATGGGAACACCACACGACACCACACACATAAACTGGTGCTTGTCATAATTTACAAGATTCTTATTGAGTGTTATTGTGCATTTCAGGGTGTGAAAGAAAGGGTATACCACTCGTCATCTAATAAACGAATCACACCCGTAGCTGTGTTTTTGACATCATTTACCGATGCACACACATATTCTGCTACAGGTACACCACTAGTCACCACACACAAGAACTGGTACTATCCTATCAATACCCATGCATGGGAACACCACACGACACCACACACAAGAACTGGTGCTATCCTATCAATCCCCATGAATGGGAACACCACAAGACACCACACACAAGAACTGGTGCTATCCCATCAATACCCATGCTTGGGTACACCACAAGTCACCACACACATAAACTAGTGCTATCCCATCAATCCCCATGCATGGGTATATCACAAGCCACCACACACATGAACTGCTGCTATCTTATCAATACCCATGCATGGGAACACCACAAGACACCACACACAAGAACTGGTGCTATCTTATCAATACCCATGCATGGGAACACCACAAGACACCACACACATGAACTGGTGCTATCCTATCAATACCCATGCATGGGAACACCACAAGACACCACACACATGAACTGGTGCTATCCTATCAATACCCATGCTTGGGTACACCACAAGACACCACACACATGAACTGGTGCTATCCTATCAATACACATGCTTGGGTACACCACAAGACACCACACACATGAACTGGTGCTATCTTATCAATACCCATGCATGGGAACACCACAAGACACCGCACACATGAACTGGTGCTATCTTATCAATACCGATGCATGGGAACACCACAAGACACCACACACATAAACTGGTGCTATCCCATCAATTTACATTTGTCCAGCATCTAAAATATACCCAAGACACAGTTAAATGTGTTCAAAAATACTTTATAATTCCGCACGTCCCGATGTGCTTTAAATTGCATCTGAAATATATATAATATATGGGGAAATATATGTTACCCATTACCAACGAGTTGACAATTGTTTTATGTATGCCCGTTTGCATCAGGATACTAAACGTTTGGATATTTTAAGATGAATAGGTTCTCTATCGAGTTCACCAAAATCATGAATTTCGGTGTGCTATTTCATAACCCAGTAGAAACTGCAGGTGTGTGTACACATTCTATAACGTCACCTCGTGTAACCCCATTTTTCAAACTTGTAAAGCAATATTGGTAAAACTAATCTATCAAATTCTGAGAGCAGAAGATCAACCGGTAATATTAAGCTCCAAGCACGAGTAGTGAAACAAGCTTTCTTACGAAGTTCAGCAATGTGTTTTACAGCAATGTTTAGACGTCTATTTCTGTGTAGTATGGTTTCTTAGTATTTATATGGCGTTCGCTCGTCACGCCGAAGACCCGGGTTCGATTCCCGACATGGGTACAATGTGTGAAGCCCATTTCTGGTGTCCCTCGCCGTGATATTGCTGGAATATTGCTAAAAGCGGCGTAAAACCATACTCAGTCAGTCAGTCTTATTATTTATATGCATCTACGACCTCTATTTTCTTATTAATGAAATACAAAATTCTTATAACTAGCTTCAGGCTCAGTACCAACTACAATATCCTTAGTACAATATCATTATCAATATTTACCTTCAATTTTAATGTTTCAATTGGCAAAATGGTCAATCATATGTAGTAAATCTACATGGGTTTCTTCTGGAATAGCGACATCGTCCACATACAAGAGAAGTGGATCTTTTAGATACAATGTTAGTTTGTCACTGGTAGAGTCAAGTTGTGTGCCACCACCGAAGTTTTTGTCTAAAACAGATTTCAGGTCATTTGGAAATATTCAAAAGAAAAGTGGGTACAAATTTTCATCTTGGCTAACCCCAGACAGAAATGCGAAGAATTCTTATTTACCCTTTTTAGTTTCACAACACAGGATTCTATATCTTTGTATCAATGGGAACACCAGTATTTCTCAATTTCAGCCATCCACGCCTTGTCAAATACTTTCAAGAAATCTATAAAAACAGTAAAAGGTTTCTTTTCACACTGGGTGCACGGGTGTCCCAGTCGTTTAAGGGGCCGCGATTCGCTGTGCAGAGTTGCGTCCCTTGGGCACGCCAGAAACCTATGATTGTGGGTTCGAATCTCGGTTCGCCCCGATTATGTTTCTAGGTTTGTCAGCACTATACCCGTGCTCGTGGGTTTAACCGAAGTGGTAAATGTCTGAGACATGCATCACTTCGGGCCTTCCTCCCACATTAAGCTGACACGCCGCGATATAACTGGAATACTGTTAAAAGCGGCGTTAAACCCATGTCACTCACACCTATCAATAATATTTCTTGTTCGTGTGAGTTAAAGGAATATGATGGAAGAAAACTTGTCAAACGTTTCATTGCAGTAGAATGCGGATCCATCTCGTTTTACTTGACTGTGATTTTTACAGAATATGCTGTAATTGAAACCTTTCTCAAAAAGGATAATTAAAAAAATAACTTGTGGAAAGAGTACGGACCGATGTTTGGGAAGAGTACACCACCGCTAAACTTGATGTTGTTGTAAGCGTACATGAATATTATACTTGAGGGTAGGTATCTTTCAACGAAACTAAAAACTACACTTCTTTGAAAGAAGATTTTCTCACAATCTCATTAAAATCAGATCTAAGTTCTCGCTGCCGTTAAACAAAGATCTTTGTTTAGCGATAGCGAGAACTAAGATCTGATTTTAATTAGATTGATTTTCTCAAGATTTGAAGTAAAGTGATACATGTTTACCATGCTCTGTTAATAATTAATCATAACACGCAATTGATTTTCGGGAATATTTAATCCGCTGACATTTTAAAAGCGACAGTCATCTGCAATTACCAGCAAATAATTTCGTTTTTACCTCAAGATGGAAGCCACGTTTTGTGCCTCAGTTAATATCTTTGTCCTTATGGCATTGAAAAGATTTTGGCATAAATGTTTAGAACTCGAGAATTATAGGAAAATTCTTCACTGAAACCATGTTTGCAAACTTACCTCACACAGGGGAGGGGCGGTCGGGTAGCCTAGTGGTTAAAGCGTTCGCTCGTCACGCTGAAGACGCGGGTTCGAGTCCTGACATGGGTACAATGTGTGAAGCCCATTTCTGGTGTCCCCCGCCGTGATGTTGCTGGAATATTGCTAAAGGCGGCGTAAAACCATACTCACTCACTCACACAGGGGAAAGCGTTCACTTCCCTTTGTGGAAAGATCGCCTGCCGCACAAGATCACAGAGGTGAGTTGCGTAGATCGATGCTCATGGTATCAGAAACTGGATTGTCTAGTCAATCAATTCCCTCGGCTTATTTCAGTACTTTTAGGCCTCAGACCTTTGTTTACAGACGTTATGGTACAGGCGGAATTACAGTTAACCGTACATTTCTTTCCAAATGTGCAGAGTACAAATATATTGCTAAGTTTATAATGATGTTAGAGTTAAGCGATGACATCAAAATGTTTATTGTGTGGATGTTAGGATGAACATAAACTTTAGTGTTAATGTATAGTTGTCTCCACTGTACGTACGATGGACACACTAAATGAAAATGGAATTCATTTTCAATGCAGGCTAAGTTACAAAGTTTACATTTTCTTAATTTTTTTAATATATCGAAGTGACGCCCACGCTCAATTTCCAGGTCATGACAATTTAAAAGAAAACGAGAAAGAGCAATTTTGAATTTGCTTTGTGCTATGAACTTCAAATAGTTTTCACAATTTATAGAAACATCCAGTGATGCATAATAGGACATTTGTGGACTTGCAAGTAGATCATTGTGCCAAATTTGTCCGAAGTAATCCTTTAAACGTTACTGAAACATATTGAGAAATACATTTTTGTTACCATACATTTGAAATAACCATTTATTTCAAAATCCTAACCTACACAGATTTATTTTTAACTTTGTAACCACATTTACCCGACTTTGCTCATCATACGATACTGCAACATTGTCAAAATATTTAACCAATACTTTACACATCTTGTCTAGTCAAGACTCAATGAATTACAAACTATCGCCATATTGCTGCGTGAGGCGTTAAACAACAAACATGACGTCGCATCTTACCACCAGCTTGTAGATTGCTGGGGACATATTCTCAACTGGAATCACCAGGTTAGACATGGTTTACAGGAAACAAAGTCAATAAGGGAATATGCTTCGAAGAGAGCGTTATGGTGTATGGTTGACTAACACATACCACAGTGGTTTGAGCGAATTAGTAAGTTGGGTTTAGAGCCGCTTTGAACGGTACCCCAGTTGTATCATGGCGTGTCAGCTTATTGTGAGAGGAAAATCCGAAGTGATGCAGGTCTGAAATGTTTTATACTACTTTGAAACCCCGGCGAACCGGGAATAGAACTCACGATTACAGGTTTCTGTGTGCCCAAGGGTCGCAACTCTGCACATCGAATTGCGGCGCCTAAGACGACTGGCCGGCATCCCGTATCCCAACATAACAGAGGTTATAATCAATATACGCGGTGGTACAAAATGTTAATCTTCAACCACCCCTTGCCCAGCCATGTTTCATGCAGTCACCCACCCACCACATACTCCATCACACCCGCCCGTCCACCCCCTCTACAGTTCCCCAACTCACGGTATTGTCCACTGTGTCAACTCGACTCATCTGCTACCCACCACATATCACAACCTATCGTTCCCAAACACTAAAAGCAACGAATTCTGCAAATTTTATGTGCGCTTTAAATGACCGTAGTTTGCGTGGTAACCTTTGTCATTATGAATGTGCATGTGTTGCTTGAATTTTTAAGGGCGCTATGTTCCATGGCCTGGTATCTTTTCCAGGACAGGTAAGTTGTTATTATTTCAAGGATAGGTAAATTATAATTATTTCCAGTACATGTAAATTGTAATGAGTTGTCTTGTAAATCTCAGCCTTTGCGTAATTAGGGCCACTGCGCTCGAGTCATCACCGGTCAAAGCAGGCCTGAATCAGGTCATACGATCAACACTCTACCTGCCTGCAAACTTAGATTATTATCTTGATTAATCGACAATGACTTTTACAATTAAATAACACCTTGATTTCATACGAGACAGAGTTATAAAATCAGAACCACGCGGAAATGGACTGGACACTGAGCACCGAAACTTCCATATAACTGCTAGATTGACAAAAAATGTGCTTTTTAAAGGATTTGAATGAAACATGCTATTGCTGTCAATTTGCCCGAGCCTAGTTCCCTCCTTTTTTAAGATACCGCTATACTTTTTAACAGTAATTTTATAAGTACCGATTTACTTGAAAGGAAGACAGACAAAAGACGTAGCTGCATAATTATTTTGGTCATATGTATTTGTTTATTGATTAAAATGAAAGATCACACAAATTGACTCAAGCTGTTACCAAAACAGTAGGAATTTAATTTCTCAAATCATTTCAAAGAGAATTGCAATATATCATATCGGCACTATGACCACTGAATATAACACAGTTGACAATTGTACGGCTAAAAGCACGATTTTGCAGTAGCATCGCAAATTTAAATACACATACATCAGAATACGTGATGAGAAAATAATGGTTTTGATTTCAGTCGGCCCTTTCAAGCTGCAGCAAGTGCGTGAGAATTTCGTTTCGTGAACACATCATTCCACAATTTGTATATTACTCAAGTCGATTTGCTCCGCACTTACGCCTTTGTTCCCAAATAATTGATTGAATTTAATATTTATTATATTCGGGGTGCATATGTGACTGGGAAAATAACAATTGATTTTTGTTCAATGTTTTGGGGAGTTTGGATTGAATTTGGAGACAAAATATTGACATTATCTTCGCGGATTTAGTCCAGCGGGAAGGAATGAAAATGGCGTCGACTTCTAATGAGCAACCTTGGTACACAGCCCTCCTTGGTTTTGCAGAAAATTTCAGGACTTCTAACCCACCAAACATCCGACTTTGCATACACTGTCTTCAGTCGATCTTTACTTTCAAGCCTCCGCCACAAATCGAAGCTCGTACGCACCTCCAACTCGGCAATATTTTACTGACCCACACAAAAAACATCGACGCAGCCCGGGCACATTTGGAAAAGGCGGTATGTTCAAGTATTTTTGTCACTTTCTTAGAGCGATCAAGGCATGTTTTGTAGTGTATTTTGAAGCCACATGTGAGTATTTTGATAATATAAGCACTTTACGATAATAATTTCGTTTTACTTTTATTTTCAGTGGAGCGTGTCGTCATCGGTATCCTTCTGAAATGTGGCATGCCAATGATAGAGAAGCCAAGCATGGAACAGGTGCACATTGTGTAAACTAACATTATCACGTCAGCTAGGCCTTTATGTTGGCATACTACAATGACAACGTTTGCAATGACATTATGTAGTTGACATGTACAGTCATGTGTCCTACAGTGTATTCATCATGTGATCGTGTCAAAAGAGGACAAGACTAGGGTTTCTTATGTTCTGACAGCTGACTGCTTTGTTTTGATCATGTGACCTATATCCATTTAAGTTGTGATATCTTGATTTCCTACTTCTGAATGACATTGATTTTGAGAAATTGTGAAGTTACCTTGTTAAAAAACAGAATATTTCAAAATAAGTAATAATTTTACTTGAGAACTGTTTACATGTGATGATTAATATACTGGTCTGCCTTTTCCATGATATGGGTAAATGTTTAGGCCTATTGGTCATACATCATTTACATGCTGAACTTCCTGAATATTTGTATCATTATGTAACATGTACAACTAAGAGTTAAGTTAAAAATTGATGACAGTACATTTGTTTTGAATATGAAAGATCATGTGATGAGGAAAATGCATATTCAGCACTTTACCAGTAACCGTCTGAAATCTTTTACTCTCATCAAGGTTCTCAAAAATGATTTTGTTTAAAAGTCATTTGAAATCAGTTGCTGTAATGCAATTTTGCATTAGCGTGATTGAACTCTTGTGTTTTGAAGTTTTCTGGAACATGGATTAACTTATTAATTTAATATATTGTCTTGTCTATATTAGTTTAGAGTTTATTTAATTTCAATTTATTGTGACAATGATAAAACCAGAAAAAGTTGGAAAATTATTTTAATTTTTATTCCTGTTTAATTGATTAGAACAGTTTAAGATTAGTCGATGAGAGTTGCAGTTAACCAATTCTGCATTGTTTTCTGTGAATATGCAGAAGGATTCATTTATGCACACAAGTTCCATTTATGAAATGGGAACGAGTCAACTTGAACAAAGATAGTTTTAATACAAAGTTAACGTGATTAGACCAAATCACTGCCTATAATCATGTGATAATCCAGTTGAAGCTTGGTCAGCTTGTAAGATTAGATACTTAACTGAACAAACATTATGTCATTGTTGTTTTTGTCAACTAAATGTACAGTCTGATTATTTTATTAAATACCTCAGTGGGTACTAGATAAGTTTTGTACATACATCATATACAGATTGTAGTTTGTTTGAAAATTATGAATTATATATGCCCCAACTGATAATTCTACCACTCTATTTATGATTTTGCATTTTTCTTCATAGTGGGTTATACATGTAATTTGCACCCCATTACAACAGGACATCAAAACATAATAAAAAGGAAAAGACTTTTAATAATGAGGTTTACATTGTTGTATTGGATGCAATACCAAATAACTGTGTTAAATAGCCTGTTAAGAAAAAAACAATGTTTTAAGAAAATTCTCACTTTTGGACAAAGTAATACTTTCCCCCTAATTTGGCTGCCTCAGATATACAAATTTGAAAATTAATACCTGAAGGGAAATAGATCCACTAATTAAGTTCATAATCATTCCATCACTTATTACCTATCAGGTATGGATGCAAATCAAATGCTAAATGTCCAAAAGAAAATAAACCTACCAACATATAAATGTACATGGCTAAGTTCTAGTAGTTACTTGTGTATTGGTTAGAATTATTTGAGGAGGCATGGTAAATGCTACATTGAGAAATTGGAAGAACCAATGTTTTGGTACTGATTGAAAGGGTAGGATAGCATCATGTTATGTACAACATGTAGACCTGGTATTTTATTTATGAACATTTAGATAATAAAAAGTACACACACATTATCATGATTATTAGAGTATTAAATTTTACATTGTTTCCTAGGTTGGGGTTATAAATGTTATGATTTCATATGATGTCTCCACTTAATATAACCGTGCTGCAGTGCTCAGCTGTGTGACAGCGGTGTCGGAAAGCTATGAGTTGCAATGCATCTGTAATAACTGTTGCCATCACTATTTATGCAATGGATACTAATTTCAGCATTTATTATTAGATATTAGTTATTGTATGATTTGAAGTTCAAATACATATTCGTCACATAGTGTAAAAAACTAAACTTGCTTCACAGGGATCAACTGATGACACGTGGGCAGAAATCAATACTGTCAGAAGAATTGATTTTTCAATCAATCTTCATATTTCAGTACAAAGACAAGCATACATTATGCCGTAGTCAGGGTTTTACCTTGACTTACAAAAGGGGGGGGGGTCCAGAGGACCCCCAATAATTAAATTTAAGGGTCCTTCCAGGCCATATGAGGGTCCTTTGAAGTAATGAAATGGTGTAGTGTACTGTGCGTTTATATAATTACTTTAGAGCCTGGAATGAATTAATGATCATGTGGACAGTGGTCATATTGAAGGATGAAATGACAGACACCAATAAGTGCTCTTTGCGCTGTAAATAAAATGAGGTGAGGTGAAATGGGGTTTAATGTTATGTTCAAGATTATTGCACTTCAGTCCTTGTTTTAGCCCCTTAATGCAGAGCATCAGGCAGGTAAACAAGAAGTACGAACATTTTTTGGTATTCTGCAACCAGGGATGTTTCGTATTAGCAGTGGTGAGAACATGAAGAATGTGTGAGAAAACGTTTTTAGTTCAGTGAATGAAATGTTTGATTACCCATTGCAATTTTAATGTTGAGGTTTTGGGCACACTTAAGTACTTAATACTTAAATGTTTAAATTATTTGTCTGTTTGTTGTAACCTTAACCCTCCCAGCTATCTGCAAATGATGATGTCCTGTTTGAGTCAGCCAGTATCCTGTCTCAGCTCTATGAACAGCAGGTAAACCACATACCTTTGTGTTGTTTTCTCTTAGCTTTGAGTAGACGTCATATAAGCATTGTTACAAGAATTCATTCAAATGACACACAAGATTCAAAATATCAAGGATATGTATTAATAGTATCCCAATATATGTTCAAGTACAATTACAAAGTGGCATATTTTGTCTTATATTTATGTTGTCAGCTCTGTGATGTATTTCAAATGGCTGAAACTGACTTTGGATTTTTAAATATTTTTTTATATTTGTTTAGAACCAGGTTCAGCTGGCCAAACCAATCCTACATCGGGCCATTGAGATGTCCCAGCAGGCTCCTTATTGGCATTGTCGACTATTGTTCCAGTTGGCGGTGTGTACAACAGTATTTACCTTGTATGATGCCCTGTGGGGATACCTGGTTAGAATAGGTCCCAAATACCTCATGCATGTTTTAATACACGACTAAAAGTGGATTGGTGGCTGGGTTCTGTGACTTGGCTTGTTGCGTGTCATTATGACCAAAGTGTCGTGGATGGTGGAATATGTTTTCATCCGCTGGTTTTCCCCAGTTCAGACTCAAATATTTAAAGGGCACCATGATATAGATTTACCTTGTCCTGACTCACACCAATTGCTTATCTCTTATTACCAGAGGTAGTGGAAACTTCCTGTCCTGTGAGAGAACAGGAAAACATCTCACACACACTCCATCTCACACGCAGGTGCACCAGAACCATGTGACCAACCCGTCTGACTCATCACTTATTTTTTCTCATTTATTTTTGGATTTTGCAATAACTGTTACCCTTTTTGGCTCTTAAATTCACCGTTTTCACAGTGAAAACGTGTGTTCAATGTCACCATCGTATCTCAGATTGTGATCTCCATCCTATCTTTTCTACATGCATTCATCACCATTGTACTGCTGAAGTTAGAGGCGATTTTTGCTCTTCCCTTGAAGATGAAGAATTTTCAGAATATATATACGTTGTAGAGAGGAAGAAGATTGATAGAAAAAGAAAGGACTGTTCATGATCTAATTCATCATCAGAGACAACTTCCATGGATGATCAAGTACAGATTGAATGTCGTAGACGGCTCCTCATCTCAGTGCAGAGAGGAGAGGAGACTCCTTACTCAAGGGCGCTTCTAAGCACAAGAAGTCTCTGGCTACATCGTCAGACCCTGGCAAGAATCTTCAAGCCTTAGCCTTCAACATCGCCTGAAGAAACATCTCCAGTGGTGGACAATCAATTTAGAAGTCTGCAGAGGAACTTATTTGAAAGGGCTGGAGTACAATCAATGTCTATTTGTAGATGTCTTACTCCAAGGATTGGGTGTCCACCTCTGTTGTCCGCAGAAGAAAATCTATTCCACATCAACAACCTAGTATTTGAGGCAGTAATCAGGGCAATATCTCATTGACCACCACAGCTGAGAGATATGTATCTGATGATAACAGACAACTCAACTGTGGCCTTCACAAAAAGCCTCCAAGACACGCCATGGTTGGCAACCCTTCTCGGGTTAACGTTTCAACTGTGCAAGTTAACAGTCAGTCTGAATCTAAAGATCAAGGCAAGGCACATTCCATTAGCATCCAATGTATTAGCAGATGCCCTGTTCAAACCATCAACAGAATGAATGCTACACCCAAAAGCATCCCAACTGGCGACAAGGGAAGGAGGTTGTCATAAGGTTCAACAGACAGATAACAATCTTTGTATCTCCAGTACAGACCCTCATGCTTGGTCCAACGATGCATTGGCAATATAATGGGTGGGGCTTCACATGTATGTACCATTCATACGAGAACCGGAGGCACAGGTGCCCAGTCATCTAAGGCGCTGTGATTCGATGTGCAGAGTTGCGTCCCTTGGGCACGCCAGAAACCTATGATTGTGGGTTCGAATCCCAGTTCGCCCCGATTATGTTTCTAGGTTTGTCAGCACTATACCCGTGCTCGTGGGTTTCACCGAAGTGGTAAACGTCTGAGACCTGCATCACTTCTGGCTTTCCTCCCACATGAAGCTGACACGCCACAATATAACTGGAATACTGTTAAAAATGGCATTAAACCCAACTCGCTCACTCATACGAAGACCCTTCAACTGCTTTTGGTAGCGCATTATTGGCCAGTGAGAACATGGTTCCTGGAGCTTGTGACAATGGCAGGAAAACCAACTCTAAAGCTCCTGACTCATGCGCTGAAGCACCAGCTGTCCCCGTTCTCCGATGTAATTGTGGCCGAAATAGGATTTGAAATTGTAGAGTGATTAGTCGGAAGGGTTGGTCACATGGTTCCGGTGCACCTGGATGTCAGAGGGATGCGTTTGGGTGAGATGTTTTTCTGTTCTCTGGGAACACAGCACAGGAAGTTTCCACTGCCTTTCGGGGAATAAGAAGAGATAAGCAAATGGTATGAGTCAGTATAAGTATAAAAAGGATTTTTAACTTTTTAAAAAATCATGCTGGAATGTTACAGACTGCAACTTGAAACAACATTTATTCATTTATAATGATATCTATGAACAATGATCATAGCTAGAGAATTAAAAGTCATACCTTGCATTTTGTAAAGTTCAGTAGTGTCTAGTAATGGTAATTCTAATTTTTTAAATGTTTTACTGTGTGTACATAGGAAGTATGCCCCTGTTGAAAACATGATATGTATCCGTCCCTAATTAATAATTAACATGTTACTTTGATATGTCTTCAATCCTTTTTATTATGATTCTCAAATTGTTCATTTAGAAATGTTTCTTCAGGAGGATACGATAAGTTCATACTGATCCTGCTGATGAGTTTGTGTACATATTTAACACTTTGTAACCATGTATTAAAATCGTTTTGTAAGTCAGAAATCACAAGCTGTCGTGAGCCTACTCTGATAACAAACACATCTCAATCCTGTCTTTCAGTCAGTAACATTGGCCATTAGTCCTTAGCCCAGGTCCCGTAAATTTTCTTTTGGTCTAGTTAGCATTTTAGGTATGGCAATCATCCTTAAAACTAATAAACAGAATATGATGTCAACTGACATAATCAGGTTAGCTGAGTCAACAGACTGGTCCTTGTTCATCAGAATCAGTCCTAATCTGGTGCTTCTGTTTTTCAGCAAATCTTTGCCATAGAGAAGGATTTCTTATCTGCCTGTGGACTGCTTGGAGTCGGGGCAGAGTTTGCGAGAACAGCTCAGTCAGACTACACACGGATGCTGTTCCTCCTTAGCAAGGGCATGGTAAGTTTCTGGATTTAAAAATTCACACTTGTCCACTCCCCCAAGACTACGTAATTGATGTACAAATGCAGTGATGGTAGTCCTCATTGACCAGTGCATATGAGGGCAGGGATGTGGAAATGGCAAAAGCTTGGATGACTTGTGAAATAAGGTTTCCAGTAGTCCCCAGGACTGGTATTTAAAAAAGACGAATTCTAAGACAAGCTTTTCACCAAATTTTTTATTGATCAGTTCTGGGGCCACGGGTGGCCCAGTCGTCTAAGGCGCCGCGATTCGCTGTGCAGAGTTGCGTCCCTTGGGCACGCCAGAAACCTATGATTGTGGGTTCGAATCCCGGTTCGCCCCGATTATGTTTCTAGGTTTGTCAGCACCATACCCGTGCTCGTGGGTTTCACCGAAGTGGTAAACGTCTGAGACCTGCATCACTTCTGGCTTTTCTCCTAGATTAAGCTGACACGTCGCGATATAACTTGAATACTGTTAAAAGCGGCGTTAAACCAAACTCACTCACTCACTATAGATCAGTTCTAATCAAACACTGACTAGAGGCACTTTGCGTTGTATTTTTAAAAGATTTTGATTACATTAATTAAATGATCTCTTCCAGTCATTATTGTACTTCCCCATGTTAAGTCTTGTTGTGTTCTGCCGAAAATAAATATATTTAAACTTATCTCACACTGTGCATATCTTTCTTCTTTGATCCTATGAACCATGTTTCCAGCTTCTCATACAAAAACATTCACCCAAATACACCCAGCATCTCTATGGTTACCACCAACAACTAGGTCAATTATGTGCTCTCATGCAAGGTAACCTTCCACGCTCAATCTCATTAAAATCAGTTGTCAGTTTTTGCTACCGCTAAACAAAGATCTGAGGACATCCCATTAGGGGTCACGTCAGAACAACCTTTCGTTAATTTTGACTGACCAATGAAATGACTGACAAGAAATCGACATTAGCCAGGCAGCTTTCTCGAGCTTTATGACACCAGTTTCAAACTGGCAACTACGTTTCGAAACATATTTTGATAAGAAGAACATTCTGGAATGGCTTTTTGATGGCCTAGATTCTATGGATATAATCATAAAACCCGTAACTGTCGTTCGGAATACCCCGTGTTAAATATTTCGTGGTCGCATGATCAGAAAACACATTCTGACTGTCACTTTCATGATCTGGTAAGCGACGCTCTGATTGGTTGGATGAAAGGTCGTTCTGACGTGACCCGTAATGGGTTGTCCTCAGATCTTTGTTTAGTGATAGCGAGAACTAAGATCTGATGTTAATGAGATTGCTTCCACGCTTTGACCATGTGCATCTCTCTACCAACTCATTCTCTTTCTAATCGCCACTGTGTGTGGTAGTGTTTCTTGGACCTCGTGAATATATTTAGGTGTTTTTTTTAAACTTGATTCGTGGTATGAAACATCCTACGACAAGCACGACCAGCATGTTCCAACTGTTTAAGCACTTATTCCAATGTCTGACCCTCAGACTCCTGAAGAAAATCGTCTACGAAAACAAAAGCCGTGTCTTCAGCTCACTTGGACAAACCGATATTATCACTCACGGATAATACTGTCTTGAATCTCGACCCCCATGACCGCTGCTCAGTCTCCACTCCATGGATATATTAGTGCGTTTTAATTTCTGCCCCCGCGTCAACTCCGTCCTCAAGTACGGAGACAGATCCCATGAACGCTCTATCCAGTGGACCACTCCTCCTTTCAGTATGCAGCTCCTGGATTCGGCATGTTCAGCTCCTTCAGACGATCGTGTGAGGGATGATAGCTTCACCGCTCCTGGGGATTGACCATACAGGGTTTGCAGTACCATCAGTCAGCTCCTCCAATATTATGCTCCCTCCTAGACCAGTATTGTTGGACATCTCACCTAACCTAGATAAGGCTTTTGCCTCGTTCCACTGACTACTTAATCGACTTCAAGTTTCTCGCTTCGTCTCAAGGATACTGACTCGCACGAGAAGGTAACCATCCTTGAGTTTGACAGTGATTTATCCATGCTCTCCCAGAAATGTTCATGTTCATCCTTCCTCAGACGATAGAGACCTCATGCACTTGAACACTACAATTGGTCGTATGTTACCGCTCGTGTCAATGATCCTGCCAGCAACAGAAACTCCCTCCGCCTCTCTCTCATCATCTCATGAGGAAGATTTTGTTAGAGGAATGGTACTACTTATGCAGGACAGGATCACGAACATCCTGGATCTACTATTCTATCATGCTGGTTCAGTATCAGCCCTTCATCGCTGTGGTGGCCTACAACAATGTTCTTGGGATGACCAGATCATGGCCAAACTATAGCAACTCCCGTGGTTATCACATACCTTGTTTGCAGAAGGAAACAAACAGGTTTCACAGGAAGTCCACAAGGACACCATTTTATAAGTTACTGTTTATTTGCTTTGCTTACAGAAACGTCACTTGGAGGATCAAGAGAAGAATCCATCAGAACTGCCATTTTCTTCGGTTCATTTTCCAAGGCCGCCACTACCAATGGAAGGTGCTCCCGTGTGGAATTTCTTTGGCCCTGTGGCTTCCCGGCCTGTCACAGAATTCCTACATCTATGCTGGATTGTGTTCGATTCTTGTTTTGACGACTGCATTCAAGTTGAAGCAGACACCGATATCCTCTGTCAACAACTTGACATCTTCTGCAGCAACACTGGTGGTTAATCAATGTCGACAAGAACGAGCTCCCTTCGACACTCCACAAGGCATGATGTTCGTCCGGTTTGTTCCATTGGCCATCAAACAACCGCTCCAGCTTCAATGATAGCAACAGCCCATGGGTCCACTGACGTCAGTGCAAGCTCTCACTCTGCGAGGCCAACTGCATCTCCTACCACTTCAATAATTTCTCTCACCCTTTATCAGGATTGCCAATTGTCAAATGCCAATTTCCAGCATCGATCCATCTCCACCCACATCTACAGTGGTGGCTAGTCGAATCAAACGTTTACGGCAGGGTCTGTTTCACGCCGTCCTTTCATCTCTTTGTTGACGCCTCAACCGTAGTTTGGAGAGCGCACTTTCACCACCTCTAAGTAGCAGGGCTGTGGTCCGACAATGATCATTGCATCAACAATCTAGAATTCAAGGTGGTCTTTCTAGCTGCGTCACATAGGTACAGCCCCACTACACTGCAGTCATGTGGGTGCATAAACAGAATGGGATGTCCTCTTGCTCGCTCTCGAGTTTTCCAGAACATTGACTCCCTCAAAATCCACGTCCAGACTCGTCCAACGTTATAGCAGACTCCCTGTCCCAAACCGACAGGCCATCACCAACAGTGTGCTCCCTGCACCCGAAGACATTCCAGTGGATATTTCATCTGGGCCCTGGAAATACAGAACTGTAGAACTATTTGCAACCCGCTTCATCGCACCCATCCCCGATCCTCAGGTTTGGGATCACGATGTGTTGTCTTTACTGTTGGAGGGCCTCAACGACTACGCCGAGATTATACCCAGGATTTTTTGGCAAAAAAAATCGCCAAACCTGATCGGTTATTTAGATTTCCCCCACGCCCCTCCTTACGTTGATCTCGGCATCGGATGACCAGGAAGATCTCTCCCTTGTCCAGTTCGAGCACTGCATCTGTATCATTCCACTGTCGACTGCGTACGTCTCGGAAATTTCCCATAACTCACCCCTTTTTGGCTGTGCTCCATCATACTACAATGGTATACATTTGCTGGGCTGCCTCCAACTACAACGTCCAACCCTCACAAGACTGGAGCTGTTGCTTCAACAATGGCCTTAAACAGTAACTGCACCCTCTCTGTGATCAAGGAATGGTGCTTCTGGAAGTCATACACAGTTCTCGCCTCTCATTACCTCCATGACATATCATTCACTGATGTTCAGGGTCCAGAGCTACAGATCAGCAGCGTATTTGCATAAAATACCCCCAAAAAATATTCAAAACGCAATTACTTTCAATTAACTTAAGTACAGAAATGCATGCATGCATTAAATGAAAAACTCAAATGTATAAAAACAGCACACGTAAATACCCAATGAAGCTTTTTCAGCATGCGTACAAAGGAGCTCATTTCTTAAACACAATTACGAGCTAATTTCCTTTCCGAATCAAGCCTATGTATTTAGAACAGTTATATACATCTAAAACATTATTTCATTTTTATTTATTCTTAAAATGTTTACTAATTTTGGGAAAAACCCAATAGAGTGATGAATGGATGAGTGTAAACATTTTGGTTACCCAATGAAAAATGTAACAACCCAATTAAAATAGAAACCCTAGAGTAAAAACTCAATTGCTCAAAAATGGAGCTCTGGGGTTGCGACTAGTTGGCCTTTTGGTTCTGGCGCTGCAACTGTCACATCCCAACAAACGTAGATTGATACGTCATGTACACATGAACCTCGCTTTCCTTTACAATTGTGTATGCGTAATAAATCTTTAAACGCTAACCTTGGTTTTCCAGACCAAGTCCCTTTTGGAGAGTGGATTAATACATCTGTAAAGACTGTTTAGTCTTCAACATTGAAGTTGCCGTAAGGCACATCAGTTGTAAATCTGAACAATTTAACATTGAATGGTAATGTCAAGAGCGTCGTTCTACAAACCGATCTTACCACTCAGAAAATCATGCCACCCTTACTTTCACGTAGACTTGTGACAGCTGTTGCCATGTACAACAGTGCACAGATTAAATAGGTATCAATGTATTCTGGTATGTTAACATATTCATAGTTCTTGCTTTGATAATTATGTCACCATTTTTCTCATCCATCATCAGACCACCTATGTGGTCTAGTGGTAGAGCGTCCGCACGGAGAGCGGAAGGTCTGGGGTTCGATCCCCGGCCGCGTCATACCAAAAGATCTTAAAAGATGGTACTTGTCGTTACCCTGTCTGGCGCTCGGCATTAAGGGGTTAAAACAAGGACAGGTCGGCTCGGAGTCAGTATACTGTGTCTGAGTGGGGTATTCATGTTAAACTGTGGCATGGTATCTCAGTGGGCTAGCACTATAAATCGGCATCAGTCCAGACTAGTACAAGCAGCCACACAAACACTCACACGTACATGCACGTCGCTATATAAGTGCAATAATCTTGGACGCGACATTAAACCCTATTTCACCTCACCTCACCTCATCCATCATCTCTGCACACTGCCTTCATAGATGTCTGTGTATGTGTAACTTTGAAGAAACTGATAATACAGAAAGGTACTGTTTTCTTTATAGCTTCTGCTGATTGATAAGAAGATGAAGGATGTTGATGAGTGTCTCTCCATGGTGTCTGGTCTCATTGAAACATACCAGGGATCCCCCATACACAAGGAATCTCTGAAAGTCTTCTTCCTGGTTCTGCAAGTGTGTCACTATCTCATGTCGGGACAGGTAAGGCCATAGTGAATATATCTTTGATATTGACTCTTATTCATGGAAGAACATGGCTGAGTTGCTTCACTTCAAGCTGAAACTTTATGTCTGATGATCCAACAACATGCACAAGTAGTAGTAGATCCTCGCTTAATGTTTGACCATGTTCAAAATGATTTCTGGAGCTTTTTCTGGTCATGTATTGATACAGTAAACACAGACGAACACTCTTATAAAGAAGACAGATATAACAATCTGTTTTTGGTTCTGTCCATTTGCTGTATATATGCTGTATACATGAACATGGGTGTAATGAACTACAGTTATTACAAACTAAAAGTAGTGGTCCCATTGAGTTCGTTGTGACCATAATTTACTGTAGTTGAAAGTTCCAGTATTGGTATTTTGCTTCATTGTCAGGTGAAAAGTGTGAAGCCAGCACTCAAGCAGCTGCAGCAGAGTATCCAGACAATAACACAGATACACACGGATGATGGTGAGAATACAACTTCAAATTATTTACATTATGGCTGACTGAAAATATGGCTGTCCCTCTCATTCTTAGATATTTGTAAATGGAAATCAGGGTTAAAAAATAACAGCTTCCTTTACTCTGAGACTGGTAAGATTCAGGAAAAACGGGTACATTTCCTGTGTACTTAAATATTGGGTAAATCGCAGCTCTGGCAGATAATTTTTACAGCCTATTACAAATATGAATTAATATCTAACCTCGGAAGAGAATGTATTATGACATATGTCGGAACTCTTCTTGACTTAACAGGAATGGCATCCTTAACGTGATTACTTATTCAGAGAAATGTAAAAATGTTCATTAAGGAATGCATGTAACTGTGCAACTTTCACTCCTAGTGTTAGGTTAATACTTGACCCATACCATTGTATACCATGACCAATTGTTTTTTAACCATGATTGTACAATCTATATTGCAGTTCTACTTTCAGAGCCCCTGTCCGGGAACCCAGTGGACTTGTTCCAGTGGCTGCCTAAGGAACACATGTGTGTGCTGGTGTACCTGGTAAGTAGTCCTCACCTATCTTTGACCACAAACCTATGATCGTGGGTTTTAATCACAGATCGCCCCAATAATGATTAGGTTTTTAACCACCATATCCATGCTCATTGGTTTCACCAAAGTGGTAAATGTCTAAAACTTTTGTCACTTAGGGTTTTTCTCCCACATCAGACTGACATGATATTACTGGAATACTGTTCAAAGCGGCATTAAATCCAACACACTCACCAATTTCCTTAGAATCAGATGTTTTGTTCCTGTATTGTGTGTGCCCTGGGCAGGGAATGATTTGTCAGACATCCTGAGAGCTATCATATTGCAGAAAAAGATCTGGTTTCAATGAGATTGCTATCATTATATTATATATGTACAATTTATTTCAAAGGACTCCATATGTGACTGAATGCTGGATCTACTTTGATGATAGTCATGGTGGTTTTAGGGTTCTAGCACATTATGTCAAGGGTTGTGTGGAGCAGGGCTCTGGGAATTGTTCACAAATGGGACATGGGTGTCCTAGATACATTTGTTTCTTACCCTGGAACTCACACAGCTTTCCCACAGGTACAACGATTGAACCCATTTTTGGGTCCTCAGTCTTGATGCCCTTTGAATATTAAAGTAAACATACAACGTTATGGACAGCAATTTCTGGTTTGTTGCATTTAGCTATGTTTTGATGTATATTCTTACACAGTTTTCAAGCTGGAGTGTGTGTTTGAATATTCTCAAAGCCAAATGTAACCATACTTTGTTGACATCAGGTTAGAAGCTAGCTGTTTTATTTCTGTAAATTAGGATGCGATGTGAAAGTCTACTTGATACTTCCCAAGTGTGTGTTTGGTGAATTGTTTGATAGGCATTACTTAGAAGTTGATGAATGACAAAGTAGTCACAATTTTTGGATAACAACATCTTAAATACGGTAAAGGTGACTTTTCAGTACAGATCCTTATACTGTTGTCAAGCAAGACTTCAGTTTCAAAGGCGACATTTCGGTATAGATCCTTATACTGTTGTCAAGCAAGACTTCAGTTTCAAAGGCGACATTTTGGTATAGATCCTTACACCATTGTCAAGCAAGACTTCAGTTTCAAAGGCGACATTTTGGTATAGATCCTTATACCGTTGTCAAGCAAGATTTCAGTCAGCTTGACAATGGTATAAGGATATATATATCGAAACGTCGCCTTTACAGAATTATAGAAGTTGTTATCCATAAATTGTGTGTACTTTGTGTGTATGGTCTCCAGCAGCAGAATGTTTCCATGTGCTGTTATTCCAGGTGACTGTGATGCACTCGATGCAGGCAGGCTACATGGACAAGGCACAGAAGTACACAGATAAGGCACTCATGCAGATTGAGAAACTGAAGAGTAAGCCATTACTTGCAGTCGACAATAAGATTGTTTATCATTAAATGAATCTTGGTTCCCAAGTCAAGTTGACTTCTTTTGAATTAGAACTTTCAATAAGTCTCTGTATAGATTGACATGAGTTTTAAAGGTAACACTGACTAAGCTGTAATAAGAATTTCATAGTTCTTAAGTGAGGACCTATATTCAGCATAATTATCTAGAGGTATTATATGGTATTCCATTTGTAATTCAGTATCTGGAATGATCTGGCCAGAATTTGGCTGTCTGCGGCAAGAGTACTTAAGTGTTATCGGCCTTTGTGTATCAGTGAACGTCATGACATGCTTGAGAGGTTGATGCTTGCATGTGTTGGTGCTACATGTACATCCTCTGTTTCAGTGCTTGACTGCCATCCGCTGTTATCATCGTTCCAGCTGATGCTGCTAGAACACATCGTCATGTGCCGTCTCATCATGGGCAACAAGTCCATGGCAATCCAGGAAGTGAGTCTATTTCAGTTCCCGGTGAAAGTTTTGGGACTACAAAATGGACGCCATTCTCCCATTGGGATTCCAAGTTAGAATAGGTTAAAAAGAAAAGTGGCGAATTGATCGGGTTTTCAGACTATGTGCCTTGGTTGATGGCTCGCATCGTATCCTAAGGATGTTGATCATTGCTCGCAACATATAGTCACTGGATTGTCTGACCCAGACTTAATTAATTGCAGGCTGTGTCATATAGCTGGAATATTGCGGAGTGCAGTGTTAAGTGTTAACTGACCACCAAACTGATCTGACTAAAATAAGAATTGGGTAGTCAGTGTGCTCATGTCATTAACCACTGGTTTGACAGGCAATCGCTGAGTTATTTACAGGTCATCTTGATATGGTTGTATATTGAGAGGAAAATTACCTAGATCATAATAAAACATAATTTTGTCATCTTTTCCAACTCTGTTACTTATACTGGTTTTGCTTCCTCCAGATATTCCAGGCGTGTCATGTTTGTCAGCAGCAACCACGGTTATTTACAACACACGGGGCACAGATTCACACGTTACTGGTGAGTTGTACACTAAGTACTCCTATCTTGTGCGACAGTTTGCACAGATTTGGAATGCGCTTGAATTTAGCCATGTCCAGTAAATATTGTTAACCCTGTATCAACCCTGGCTACGCATGCTTATTTGTGCAGTGTATTATGTCTCCATTCTGGTATGATGTTTGTAGTCCTTGGACCCATTCACGACAACAGCTTCATTTCAGAAGTGATGTCACCAGTGCTCTCTCTTGTATCACTAATTTAGCACAGACTTTCTCTCTCATGTGATTGAAATCAATGTCCAATCAAAATGCAACGTCTGACTGCAAGTTCGGCATAGATTTTCATTGATAATTAGTGTTAATCATTGCCTTGTCCAATCGAGCCCTTGATTTATTTCATTAAGTCGGGAGAGTGTTATGCAAGGTTTCTACCTTAATGTACAAATCTATTTTAAGGGTCCATGCAGGCACTATGAATGTCCTGTAAAGTACTGAAATAGTGTAGTGTACTATACGTTTAGATAATTACTTTAGAGCCTTCCATGAATTAAACATCATGTGGACTGGGGCCATGAATGATGGATGAAATAACAGACACTCATAACTGCCCTTGTTGTGCTGAAGGTACTACAAATATAATTGTGCGTCCCATGGTACGCAGTAATTTTGTTTTCTGCATCCATTCTCTATATTTGTTTGTACATCTTCCTGAGGCAAAGGAGTTAACTGACTATGAAAGTCCAGTTTCCACCCATGCCAAAATAGGTTGAAATTTCGTGGCACAATCATAGCGCCACCATTGGCTATTACGAGTTATGACCCTTCCCAATCAAATTCCACATCTCAGATCACTTTCATTTGCTTCAAATAAAATGGTGACGCCCAGTCAAGATGATCTGATAAATAATCAAGATCTGTAGTGTAGTAAGATGCAAATCGCATCAGATCATTTGAGCATCATTATTGAAAACATGAAAAGATTTGGAAAATGTATGTTGATGCCCAGTTCGCAGTACACATGCTTTGCAAACCCTGCAGTCGACCGAAGTCTGCACTTTGAAATCCATGTTGTTTACAAACCAGATGTCAAGTTTGTTACCCAATTTTGATTGGACTATACCTAGACTCATTTGTCCAGCCAAAATGTAACTCCAGAATTCCAGCCAAATTTGGCAAGGGTGGACACCAGACTTTTGTAGTCAGTTAACTCCCTTGCGTCGGGAAGATCGAGTACTTAACACAAGGGAAAGGATGTCCTTTTGCTGCAGAGGTGTTTGCCTTATATTTGCGGTGGCACACAAACGTTGAGTTCGGTACAGGTGATGTCACCGCTCGTTTCAATAAGGAAAGAACAGTGTCATTTGATTGGTCTATTTGTGAGGCTGTGTCATTTGAACTATGATGGAACCGTGGCGAATGTGTCTAGGTCATTCCAGAATGGAGATTTGATTCACTGGATTATCAAGGATGTGTGCTGCTTATTAATTGAAGCATTAATTGAGGGATCAACAAGACTTCTGTATCTTTGCGTTCTGCTGATTGTGCCTGGCATTGTTGTTTTCAGGGTTTGTATGCAATGTCCATGAACTGTATGGAAGCAGCTGAGGCTCAGTTCAAAACCGCATCCAAGGTAAGCCACTCTCACCATGTAGCACTGACAATATTACACATGTTGCTCTTTCACAAATGAAAAAGTAATCATCTTCTTCATACTGAGTCGGGGGGCACACCCAGTCGTCTAAGGCGCCGCGATTCGCTGTGCAGAGTTGCCTCCCTTAGGCACGCCAGACACCTATGATTGTGGGTTCGAATCCCGGTTCGCCCCGATTATGTTTCTAGGTTTGTCAGCACCATACCCGTGCTCGTGGGTTTCACCGAAGTGGTAAACGTCTCAGACCTGCATCACTTTCCTCCCACATTAAGCTGACACGCCGCGATATAACTGCAATACTGTTAAAAGTGGCGTTAAACCCAACTCACTCACTCACTCATACTGAGGAGATAAACAAGGACTGGACTAAGTCGTTATCACTATAATGTGTCTCAATGGGTATTCATGGTAAAACTGTGGCAGGGAATCTCAGTGGGCTAGCACTATGAAACCAGCATAAGTCTGGACTAATATAGGCAGACACACACATGTTCATGCATGTTGCTATATCAGTGAAATAATATTGAATTTAATGTTAAACCCAATTTCATCTTGCCACAAAACTGTTATTAATAAATCTTTTTGGCTCAGCAATATCACAACTTTAGGCATCAGTTTTCAGTTCATTTTTCAAATCTTAGTGTTGTTATAGGTTGATGTTTGTAAGATGTAACTTTTCCTCTATAAATGGGGAGGACACAGCACTAAACTATCATTTATAAAGATGGAAACTAAACAGTTGTAATACTCCCAGCTGTGCCATGAGGCCTCATGCAACTCAATTGTTGTTTCCTAATTTTATGTTTCTTATTATCTGGTTAGATGAACATTGTTTGTTTTCTTTTCAGTTAACTACAGTATCAGACCTAAAGAGTTTTGTAAATTTAAATCTTGCAATTGTATACTTACGAACAAATCGACAAACAGAACTAGTGGGATTGTTAGAAAGTATAGATCCTGAGAAGTTGGAATCAGGGTGAGTGACTCCTCATATTAGAATACACATAAAATCTTTTTCAAGAGAAAAGTCAATCTTTATCTTCTTTAATAACTTTTGGTAAAAGTTTGTAATTTGTAAGTTACTTTGGTTAAGTTTGTAGAACATTGAAACTATTGAGATTGTTCTTCATTATTACCATCTTAAGCATGGGTACTCATCTCTTGTGAAACATTTACTTCCAGATCACATAGTTTAAAGGCAGCAGCATATTATGTCCAGGGTTTACAAGCATTTTTCCAAGCAAGATACAATGAAGCAAAGTAAGTGTCAGATGGCATCCTTCCCTATTCTAGATTCCTAAAACTAAAAGATGCTGTCAAATTGTTGATGTGGCATTATGCAACATTCATCCACTCACAATTAGTAGACTGGTGAGGGAGCTGGTATGTCAGTGTGGGATAGAATACAGTTTCTATCTTAAATAAGGGTGTGCGGTAGTATTAGTTTTATTGGTAAATTGAGGTTCATTTTTTCCACGATACGTATCACAATATCATTTCTTCATGCTCGATATATTGGGTGATTTCAAATCGCGTTTTTTGTCATGTGTTTGATGTTATTTTCTTGCCTTCTCCAAGATGGCTGCACATTTATTGACTGAGTAAACATCATGTTGTACCAGCATCTTGTATTGTTCCATTTATGAACTTCAATTCATATCTTAGTGTATCAGATTGTTTCTGAATTCAAAATTTAGAATTATGCAATATATCGTGATGCATATCATTATATGGGCTTGTGCATCGCAAAATATTGTGATACACTTTAAACCTCCAATACCAATCCTTAATGTTAAACCTTCAGATAATCATGCTTGTGTTATTGCTAGTGTGGACAATAGACAACAAAATGTGTAGGACATCTACACATCTTTTCATGTCATGAAATTAAGAATTGCATGCATGATTATGAGAAGAGAGATGACTTTGATATTAGACTAATGCCTTAATGTGTTTCAGGCGCTACCTCAGGGAAACATTGAAGATGTCCAACGCAGAAGATTTGAACAGATTAACGTCGTGTTCACTCGTACTCCTGGGGCACATATTTCTTTCATTAGGAAACAACAGAGTACGTAGTTTGGTTGGTTTGTAAGCACTGTTGATCTGTATGTCACAGATATTGATCCAGTAGTCTAATATGTGAATAGTGGATAACATCTTACTGTTAACATGGTTACAAATTATGACAACCAGGTCAAGTGTTTAGCTGTTAAAACGCTTATGTGTCATGGATTTTGTGGTCATTATGATTAAGAGCCGATAGTATTGATGGATAACTGCTTGAGAATGCCTCCTTGACAGCAGTCTCCATGTACCCCTCCCCATAAGCAGGGTCAGTACTTGCACCCCTACAGGCTGGGTCAGTACTTGCACCCCTACAGGCAGGGTCAGTGCTTGCACAACTACAGGCAGGGTCAGTGCTTGCACCACTACAGGCAGGGTCAGTGCTTGCACCACTACAGGCAGGGTCAGTGCTTGCACCACTACAGGCAGGGTCAGTGATCACACTTGTACCCCTACAGACAGGGTCAGTGATCACACTTGTACCCTTCAGGCAGGGTCAGTGCTCACACTTGTACCCTTCAGGCAGGGTCAGTGCTCACACTTGTACACCTACAGGCAGGGTCAGTGATCACACTTGCACCCCTACAGGCAGGGTCAGTGATCACACTTGTACACCTACAGGCAGGGTCAGTGATCACACTTGTACCCCTATAGGCAGGGTCAGTGCTCACACTTGTACACCTACAGGCAGGGTCAGTGCTCACACTTGTACACCTACAGGCAGGGTCAGTGATCACACTTGTACCCTTCAGGCAGGGTCAGTGATCACACTTGCACCCCTACAGGCAGGGTCAGTGATCACACTTGCACCCCTACAGGCAGGGTCAGTGATCACACTTGTACCCCTATAGGCAGGGTCAGTGCTCACACTTACACCCTACAGTCAGGGTCAGAGCTCTTACTTGCACCCTTCAGGCAGGGTCAGAGCTCACACTTGTACCCCAATAGGTGGGGTCAGAGCTCTTACTTGCACCCTTCAGGCGGGGTCAGAGCTCACACTTGTACCCCTATAGGCGGGGTCAGAGCTCACACTTGTACCCCTACAGGAAGGGTCAGAGCTCTCACTTTTACCCCTACAGACAGGGTCAGTGCTTACACTTGACTGACACCCTTCCTGTTCACTTCACACAAGACGCAAATCCACTTATTTTGTCACTTTTGTCTAAACTATGAATTGACTTTACTTGCAGTGTCGGCAGATAGAAACTGTAGACATTTGTTAACTTTAAACTCTGTTTTCTCATTGCACATGTCTGATTTCCAGGAAGCAATGAACATGGTAACACCTGCAATGCAGCTTGCTGGGAAAATACCTGACGTTCATGTTCAACTGTGGGCGTCATCACTCTTGAAAGGTAAACATGGTAAATTCTCTTTAAGTTGAAGATTAATTGTACAAACTTCATGGCATTTTCAATGAACATGATGATAGGGGATGATAGGCTCGCTTCCATTTTTCCAAATATTTTCTTGCTGTACAGAGTTACATCCCTTAGGCATGCCCAAAAACTTGTGTAACCCTGTCAGCTCCATACCACTGTGTGCGTGCATACGTGCGTGGGAAGTGGTTACTATCTCCATCACATCAAACTTTCGCCCACATCAAGCTGACATCATGATACAGGTATAACCTCTGAAATGTTTACTCGCAAATATCTTCATGCATGATATCTTTGCTGTGTCGTTTTCAGACCTTTACCGTATGTGTGGGGACTCTCATAACGAGGCAGAAGAGTTCCGGATGCACTCGAGCTTCTCACAGTCCCTCCTCAAAGACCACTTTCAGTCCTCACAGATGTCGGAACATGGACTCATACAGGTGAGACTCCTTCCACTCCCTGCTTTCTGTACCATGTGTTACCACCGATCAGATTGGCAAGGACAGCTTTTGAGGTCATAAACAGTTGACAGAGATCATGAAGTTTCTTACCTGTGATACTGTAAATCTTTAAATTCACGCGAGCGTGAATTCAATGCGAAAAATGCAAGTGGTCTTTGTTCACATTAATGAAACTTTGCATTTATGCCTCCTAAAGGACTATCAACAATAAGACGGATAATGGACTTACTTACTTACTGGCATTTTCATTGCATTCCTACATGGGTGGGGATCCAAATGAATTCTATTTGTTTGCCTGCCATAGTTAAGTCGTTTGAGCTTTTGAGTATTTGGTTTATTAGTTTGGGGCGTTTTTTTGTGTTTTTATTTTGCAGAGGGAGTCGGTTAGAATAAGGATTTTGGGTTTGTTTTTTAGATTGCTGATTGTGTAGGACTGAGGCCATGCCCATTAGTTTGTGAATATGGATTGGCTGTTTGGGAGTGGGTAGGATTGGGTGATTTTAGTTGGTTGTGCGATGTGGACTCCGAAACCTGTGTGTTTGGAGATCGGATCTGAGGATCCGTCTGTGTATATGTGACACCAATTTGGCCAATTTTCGTGTATGTATGCTAGTGTGGTGGTTTTAGCGATGTTAGGGTCAGTCTGTTTATTTAGTGTATTGGCTAGTGTTGTGTATTTTGTGTATTGGCTAGTGTTGTGTCTATCTTAAGTTTTTTAAGTTTTGGGGTGAAGATATTTGATTGTTTAATGTTTTGTTTGAGATTACTTATTTTGTGTTCATTTAGGTAATTGATTATTCTTTTGGATATTGGAGTAAGTAGTGGATGTTTCCGGGCTAGGGCTTGGTTTCTGGCGCTAATATTGTTGTTTATTATGTTTTGGATTAGAGGGTTTGATATGGGACGTGTCCCAGAAGTTTAGGGTAAGTTGTTCCCTACGTAGTTTTAGTGGCATTTCTCCTGTTAAGGCCTGGAGTGATGTGCTGGAGGTGCCATGTTCAGTTCGTGTGAGGATAACGGAAATACCAACTTGAATATATACACAAATCTGGTTTATTGAGCAGCAGTTGTTACAAGTACATAACAATGTTATTTAAAGAATAGAAATTACACAATAGACATCCAGTGAGTAATCACTGCAAGGTCAAGAGTTCTACCAACTTATGTCAAACTAGGCATCATTGACCACTCCATTCAGTGAACTGTTGTTGTTTTTATGAAAACACTGTTTGTTATTACAGAAGTGTTTTACTAGTGCTAATAAGCGGTACTATTTGCTGTTTGATTGGATTAAGGTATTGATATTCCACTGGGGATGGAGTGGGGGGAGTTGCATTGATTTTGAGTCACATGTTTTGCGAGGGGTCAGCAGTCGTATTAATTTGGAAATGCATTAATTTCAAGATTTTCAGTATGCAATCAGACATCAGGTAAACTTCAATCAAGAAAATAAACAAGGACTTCAGAGCAAACTTTTTGAAACTCTTCACATTGCATGTCAATGATATAACAATCCCCTTGGCCTGATGGGGGCCTCATAAAGTCTATATTCTGAGCTTCCCTGATGGTTGGCAGTAAGTAATCTCAAGTTTGCGATTAGGATGTAGGGAAGTGACATTGTTTTGATGTTTGTTTTGACATTGTTGGATTGCATTGTCACCTGTAATTAATGGTTCACGTGGAGGTCTCTTATTAACCATTTTGGAGTAAGGTATACCCACAAATAAAGAATGTCCAGAATATAAAATATGTGACAAGAAAGTACTTCCTTTTAACCTAATCCAATGCCCTTTTGTAACTAGTTTAATGAGTGTACCTGTCTCATGGCTTGTATTATGTTAGCATACAGTGGACAGGAAATATTTGTATCAAGTTAGGTATCAGTTTTTTATTATGGGAGGGGAGGGAAATTGGTCTTAGGACTGTATCATATTCTGTTGACAGCCCCACCCCGCGCATTTCATGTAACATTTTTCAAGGCAAAGTTTTTTGTAAGTTCTTAGTATAAGAATATCAAAGTTATTCGGTACCTTTCAAAATGTATTAAAAAATTAGGATACCTCATACTCATATTAAAGTCATTCACTCAAAAAGATACATTAGGGAATACACTTGTGTTTCTTTTTTTTCCTTACATTTAGTGTGATATTTTTTTCTGCATTTCAGTGGACAGATGGTCAGTGCCCGTTTCACCTGTGTAGTACATCAGTGGCGTCCAGCTCTATGTTGTGAAAGCTGACTCAGGTGGGGTCCAAATGACCTGGCTGTGTATAGAATATATGGACCTGGGCTTCAGGCCCCCCTGTCTGTGGTTGCCATGGCTACAGTGGAGCCAACTGCAAGCAACCATGAGGGTCCTTTGAAATGTGTTAAAACACATCATGGCAGCAACAAGGAAACCTGAACGAACATTGTTCTTGTTTCTGGTTTGGGCTCTCCTGAGAATCCAAGCACAGAGCAACAGCAAGTGTTGTGGTACGAGGCAGTTCCTTACCCCCTCAGGACAAGATCTACAGAGCTTGACTGACATGAGTTGTTATCGGAACATGATGTCAGGGAATAGTCAAACCTCTTGCTCACAATTGGAGATGTTTCGGAGGGCAGGATGAGTCACAACACCAGAAGAGCTGCCACATTTGTGGACTCAAAGTTGAGATTCCCATCAGGAGGAAGGGCAGGTCCCTTTGCTATTGTTCTTGTCATCAATCGATATCATGGTTAGCAACGTCTCTAATGCAGATATTTCTGCCATATTCATATTCCTCGGAAGGGACTGAGACATTTATCCTACATCTACGGTGACTGAGTTTGAACACCGTTATGCGACGTGCACACTTGATTTGTCCTGTTAGCTGCTAGTAATGCCTGTGTTCATCCTATATGTTGACTGCAGTTTATTTCAGTCTCACTTTACATTTTACACATAACTGTTTTAGTTTTACATTATATGCAGAAGTGCTGAGAGAAAATGATCTTTTCCTAGAACATTTTATTTGACCCCATTTAAACGGTAGAAGATTTTATATTACAACACAAGTAATTTCACTTCAGTGTAACAAAATAGTGTTTGATACCTTTATTTTTTTAGCCCTATGATATGGCTTGACATGCAATAAATAAGACGATGCTAAACAGTTTTATATGGAGCAGTGAATTATTTTGTTTTTAACATAAAGTCAGATTCAAAACCTGTTATATAGTTGAACATGTAATATGCTTGTGTTAATGTTGATTCTACGACATTCTTCACTCTGAAAAGAGACTCAACTAATGAATTCTATCAGTACCTTACGTGTAAATATACTGACATTTTGTGTGCCAATTGCATCTGCATCATGAACGTTGAAATCATCATCCTGTCAGTCACAGTGTGACCAAGTCTTACAGTAACCCATCACTAATGTACGATTCTGCACCTTTAGCCCCAGTCTAGTAAAATTCTGTTCTCTCTAGTAAACTCCACTAATATTATCATAGGAGCAAAGTTTGCATGAGTAGACTAAAAATCATTTGGCATAGGCAAGTACAGGATAATAATATCATTTCCTATTGTTTATGTAAAAGTCAGGCTACAAGGTTAGGTTCATATGAAACAAGCAATATTAATGGTATACATAATATTATTATACACTTAAAGTGGATTTATTAATTTAATCAATGAAGTTCTGATTGAGTATATACTTAAGTGAATGGATCATAATTTTTAAACCGGTGTATTACACAAAGGCATTGTGTCCCCTTGTGAAATTGGTTTACTTGATGATTGTAATTTGGTACTACCATGTGCTGGGTTTCACAGAATAAACTTTTAAAGTCATGGAATGTAACATAATTAGGAGAAGCAGGCATGGAAGAGAAATAGCATTACAATCTGACCTGATTATTCATCTAACAACATTAACTGCAACATACATTTATCATGTAAAGTTTATCCATGCGAGGACGTGGCAAGGCACCGTTACTCTTGCCATGGCCTGTTTTCATTCATCATGTGATAAAAGACTTTGTCCCTTCTATGTATAATCCGTTTCACATTTTGTAAAGTTGTATCCAGATGTTCTCATTATCAGCTTGATGCCATGAATAACTCTTTGCAGGTTCTGGGAATAATATTTTCTTGGGCGTATACTTTATCAGTGATAACTAAGTATTGCTTTCTGAGGTTTAAACAAGGATTCAAGATGTTGGAAAGGTTTTACTTTATGTACAGTGAACACATTCATAATTATAGCTGTGGTTCTTTTTAACCATAATCCTTAAACTGAAAATGTCTCTTCTATTTCATATCAATTATCACATCGAGGTGGAACTATGTTATGTTTGCCTTTCATAGCCATTAAATGATATTAGTGCTGTATTTCAAGGTTTTCAACATAGCTAAATCACTCATATATATATTTTTAGATATGACACTATTTTCCTTCACACCAATCCACAAAGTGTGTTAATGATATATGCTGGTACGCCCTAGTCTGACACAGCTATGGCGCCTTGTCGGTGGGGAGAGAAGGTTGATACCACTGAGGGAGTTAGTACCAATCTGTGATGGATCCCCTTGCTGTCGAGGTTTATGTCGAACCAATGTACATGGTCATTATCCTGTATGTCTTGTCTTTATGTTGTGATTATCAATACCCATTGTCATTGTTACTTTCTGTTTCATCCTAAAGTCAATATTTTTATGGCTGTGTTTCATGTCATACCAGGAAAAGTGTGTGTTAATTTGTGTCTTTATCTTTAATTCTTTATCCTAAATATGAAGATATTCTCACATCACTGAAATGAAATCGAAAGTATGTTTTGTATGTGATGTCATACAGGACCTGATTCAATGAATGACATTTCCTACCTGCAAGGCACAGATATGTCAGACATTAAAATATTACCTCTAATTTACTGATAATTATAGCAACAGTGACCTCCTGTATACTGGAGATTTTGGGTTAGAATAGGTCCCAGTACTTTATGGATAGGAAGGTGAGGCGTGGTGACTTGGTTGATTGCATATCATCATGCCCCAATGACCTGGATTGTTCTTCATAATGTCGATTACAGGCCATGTCATAGATAGAATGTTGAGTACAACGTTACACAACAAACCAACAGAAAATCATAATCATATTGCCTTGTAATATCAGTTTGGCCAATAAATCATTTTAGCTGACAGGGCATGATTGCCACTCACTCAACAGAGTTGCTTCCCTTCACCAGGCCAGGAGCTGCTTATCTAAGCCTTAAAGCTAAAGTCCAGATGTTAGGTCTGTCAGCACCATAGCTATGCTAGTGGGTTTCATCTGAGTGATAAATGTATACAGCCATCTCCTGAGCTGAGCATTGTGATAGGACTGGAATATTTTTCAAAGCAATGTTGAACTTGAATGTACTTGAGTATGGGACAGTTCATCAAACCATGTGTCTTGTATGCTTCTGCTTCAGTCTGCTGCTTTGGACAAACCTAAGGGAAACAAAACAAAACGTGATTCAAAATTATTTGGTGGGGGATTATCACTAAGAGTATTTAAGGTATATAGAACACATGATTTCTTAGCTAAGATTCAGAAGTTTTAAATTATGTGCAGCTATTTGTATTCTAGATTTGTTAGATCGCTTAATTTAAGGTAACTGATATTAATTTAAACATTGATTATAGAATTTTATTGATTAATACAAACAATTACTATATCTTGACTAACTATGGGAAAGGATATCTGGAAATACTGAGTACCACCTGTATTAGATAGACTTCTCATAACTGCCAGCTTAATTACTTTAAATGTTTGAAAGTAAAACTGCAAAAATGTTAGAATAATCATGAAATGATGTTAGTTTGCATGAAGTTCTAGGCGGTATGTTAATTCTGTCAGAAACCTGTTCCTCAAAGTCATCTTGACAATATGATCATTGTAGCCTAATTGTTGGTATGAGTTGCAGTTCTGAGGAAAACACTTTTCGGAACAGAAACCGTTCAGATAAACCCACACTGAATATTATTTTGTTTAGAAATAAAAAAATATATGATCTTTGTACCAGAGATATGCATGAATTGAGGCGATACATTTATTTCTACATGTTAACTGTTCTGCTATGTTCTATGTCTTTGTTTGCTATTCAATCATGATGAATTTCTTCAATAGAATAACAACTCTATGGGACATTTTAACATTGAGGACATGTTAAGATGGATCAGACACAGGGCAGTAATGTAGGAGAACAACCTTGTGACCAGTATCAAAACAAAAACATATCCATGTCAACATTTTAGATCAGGTTCAAGTTAGGCCAGACTCTTTGTTGAAAGAGAAGACTAAAGACACTCAGCATGGATTAGGTGTCAGATTGAGATAGGGCTAACACTTTCAACTGATTTTCGCCCACTGTGATAGAGGTATAATAGATTACAAGTGAGACAACATTTAACCAAGCAGGCCTTTAACTTTTTATGCTAACAATAGACAGGGTTACAGTTGGTCACCAGCAACCGACTTGGTATGCCTGACATATGAGGCAGCTTGGCTGATTGTGTGTCACCTAGTCCAACAGCTTGGGGCATGGCTCATAATATCAATCACTGGTTTATGTGGTCCAGGTTTGATCTTCAGGGCCCAGTTACATAGTTGGACTTTTGCTGCTTAAACTACAAACTGACAACCCCATTGCAGGAAATCATGAGGAATCCATTACATTTATGTCATGTGTAGGTTCAGGTGGACAAGTTGGTTTCTGTGGATGATACTGCTCTGTGACTTGTTGAAGTTTCTGACAACTTACTGACTGAAAGATCATGTACGTTTCTGTGAGAACAGCCAGTTGACCAAATAAAGCGCAAAGGAGGGATGTGGAAATGACTTGTTTCTGGTATGATCATGGAGCTTGCTGATTACTGTTATTTTCTCTCTTGTTTCACTCACCTCATTGAACGTCACTACAATACATGTAGGTTGATGTACACGGTAGGAGTGCTTTGTAAATACGTCATTTTTATGTATTTTACAATCAAATCAAGTTTATAAAAACATAAAAACTAAGCAGGTGTTTGTCGTTATTTATATGGGTTTTGTACAGGCTCCAACATTGACAAGACATGTTTATGATGTAATAAATTACAAGATCAATCAAGTGTTTTTTATAAAACTAAATACATACACAACCATATACTAGAATGTTTGCAAATGGAGGCCTCGGGCAATTACAAGACATGTTCAGAGAACTAGTATTGCCTTCCATCGATGGACTCTCGTCTAGAGGTTGTCCTATGTGTCAAATGCCTACTATCACTCCTATGCTACTTGGCTGAAGCTATAATACCGTCACAAAGCAAAAGCCATTTTTCCAGCAAAGTGCTTTTCACAATGATCGGGTAGGAATGAAGTGTTCATAAAATCAGGACTCTGTCCATCCCAACGTAGATGTTTACTGAGGTTTGTGAGTTTTAAAGAAACTAAATGTGAAGATATGTATGATTGGATCCTTAAGGAAAAGTGCCTAAAATGATGGTTGCGAGGGAAGTGAAAACGTAAAAAGATTTAACTGACTAGTGAAGTCCAAATTAGATCTCGAACGTGACTGTCCAGGTCGGTAGTGATCTCGCTACACTTCCCGTGTCAGTCCCTCTACAGAGTAAGGCCCATCTCTCACCCACCCTTTCCACCCAGGCCCCGCCTCTGCGGATTAGATTCATTCGACTGGAAACGAGATCAAAGGCAAGATGAAATTTACTCTGGGAATAGTTTCTCCATTGCACAATAGTTTACATTTCCGGGTAAAGAAATAGCTCGTCTACGAGGCGGTATCAAACAGTTCCGAGTCTGGCATATCTAGGTTGTTGTGATGCGTACGTGTGACATTAGTCTCGACCTTTTTGTTGAGTCATCTTTCACAAGTGGCGTGCTTCAGTGCAATGACTTGCTGATAATTGACTTCCACTTTGATGTATCTCACCCCTTAGCAAGGAAATGGACAAAACTGAGAATAGATGAATCAAAGAAAATATCCAAGAGGGTCAGTCATCAAAGAATATTGATGATAGTAATGATTATGAAGGATGAAGGAATTTCAGCCTGGGAGAGAGTTTGGAAGATGGCCCCCTGATCTTATGGATCGTCCAACAGCAAAGAAAACGCTGATGCCGTCCACAATCTTTTACTGAAAAATAGGCCCATTACGCTCCATGAAGAGACCACATGCTTCTCGTAGAGATCAATAGAAACAATCCTCCATGAACATCTACTTATAATGTCAAAGCTGTGTTCCGAGTTGGCTCATAGAATACTATAGGATGAAATGAAGCTACGCGGACCTCCGCCTCTGATGCCATATCAACCAGATACAATAGAAACCCTGAAGATTTTCATTTTAGGTTGGTGACCGGATGAGACCTGGAGCCATCATTACGATGACAGGTGCAAACAGGAATCCGTGGGATGGAAACACTTCGGGTTCCCCAAACCAAGAGTGAGTGAGTGAGTGAGTTTGGTTTTACGCCGCTTTTAGCAATATTCCAGCAATATCACGGCAGGGAACACCAGAAATGGGCTTCACACATTGTACCCATGTCGGGATTCGAACCCGGGTCTTCGGCGTGACGAGCGAACGCTTTAACCACTAGGCTACCCGACCGCCGCCCCAAACCTAGAGGATTACAGCAACCAGACCTACTAAGATAGTTATGGCCACCTTCTTTTGGGACGCCTTAATACACATCGATTATTTACCACGGAGAAGGAACAAGCATGAATGGTTAATATTATACCAGCTTATTTGAAATATTGCGTGCATGTGTCAAAGAGAACCGTCGCGCCAATCTTCGACGTGATGTTCTCCATCAGGACAATGCTCCGGTTCACACCAGTCATGTTGCACTAGCTGCTCTTAATGAATGTGGATACGAGCTACTGGCCCATCCACCTTATTCAGCAGCTCTGGCCGCTAGTGACTGCCGCGTGTTTTCAAAATGGAAAACAATACTTGCATGGTCAGAGATTTATCGACGATGAATTGGTTGTTGCTGTCTAAGGCTGGTTAACAAACCTGGATTTGACTTAAGCAAAACAGTGATAACTAATATTCGCCACTCACTCGTACTAATAGATTTCCATTACATTTTCTAGATATCTACCCTTTTCACTCATTTTAGCCATATTTGACTATACGACCATGTCAAACGTCCCAAACTTCCAAGTGTAAGAATTCTCGTCAGCCCTAAGAACATCTCTGACGATGTTTACACCAATATTGCAAAGTTTTCCACAACACTATGATAAAACATTTCCAGTGGACCAAATCGGGCAAAGTCTCCTTTGTTGTCGTATGAATCGAGTGGTCTAAACTTGTAACTGATGTGAGCCGGGTGGCGTGGGTCGTTGGTCGTGTTTTAGTCAGGTATATTTACACCCCCTTATCTTGCTAGATGCTTAGAAACATCAATAATCCATTAATGATTTGCCTACTTATACATGTACAGATGACTGGAATTAGCAAACTATCTTTGTACCAACATTCATCCTGATTTATTCATTAATGTCTTATCAGCCAGGAAATAATAAAATAAACTGCCGGGCCGCTGTAATATTTGTTTGTTTGTTTGTTGTTTAACGCCGCACACAGCAATGTTCCAGCTATATGCATGACGGCGGTCTGTAAATAATCGAGTCTGGACTAGACAATCCAGCGATTGACATCATGAGCATCGATCCACGCAATTGGGATACGATGACAGCGAGCCTGACCACCCGATCCCGTTAGTCGCCTCTTACAACAAGCATATTCGCCTTTTACGGCAAGCATGGGTTGCTGAGAACTATTCTACCCGGATCTTCACGGGTCGGCCGCTGTAAGACAGTATACACCCATGTTTAATGATGACTAAGAATTAAACAAATAAGAAGTGGTTATTCAATGTTGATTTAGGGACCGACCGTTTTGATATTGGTCGATCATTTTTTCACAACTCCGAAGCATAATTATTTTGTTCAAGATCCTTTGGGGACAAATTTGTTTTCGATAAAAGCCCAATCTTTCTGTTGCACGGCAATTTGCATTCGATGTAATATAAAAATGTAATAAATCCTTCCCAGACTGATGTGACGAATGTAACAGCAGGTTCTCGTAGTTTACCTATTGTTTGCAATACTTGTCTTTTGTAGCAAACAAATACAAGTTGGATAATAGATAGGCCGTGATCCAGCTATAAGAATTTCCGGGTTAAACCATTATCAGCTGATGCTGATATACATACCTATTTCTGAAATAATACGCAGGTTCTGCACCTCCCATGTACTTAACAATATTCTGTCTAGGATCTCAGATATAGTTGACAATATTCTGTTGAGGATCTCAGATATAGTTGACAATTTTCTGTTGAGGACCTCAGATATAGTTGACAATATTCTGTCTAGGATCTCAGATATAGTTGACAATATTCTGTCTAGGATCTCAGATATAGTTGACAATCTTCTTTTGAGAATCTCAGATATAGTTAACAATATTCTGTTTAGGATCTCAGATATAGATCACAATATTCTGTCTAGGACCTCAGATATAGTTAACAATAGTCTGTCTAGGATCTCAGATATAGTTGACAATATTCTGTCAATGATTTCAGATATAGTTGACAATATTCTGTCTAGGATCTCAGATATAGTTGACAATATTCTGTCAATGATCTCAGATATAGTTAACAATATTCTGTCGAGGAACTCAGATATAGTTGATAATATTCTGTTGAGGATCTCAGATATAGTTAACAATCTTCTGTTGAGGACCTCGGATATAGTTAACAATATACTGTCGAGGACCTCGGATATATTTGACAATATTCTGTCTAGGATCTCAGATATAGTTGACAATATTCTGTCTAGGACCTCGGATATAGTTGACAATATTCTGTCGAGGACCTCAGATATTGTTGACAATAGTTTGTCGAGGACCTCAGATATAGTAAGCAATATTCTGTCGAGGATCTCAGATATAGCTTTCCTTCCACATTAAGGTGACACGCCCTAATATAACTGCAATACTTTTCAAATCGTCGTTTACCAAACTCACACACAGATTATTCTCATGTGAGCTTTAGGTCCGTTAGGCGTTGTCCGTCCGTCTGTTAACTATCGACGTCGACAAGTGTATTGGGATGAATCCAACTATCGAAAGCAGCGGGACGGAGGTTCACGAACAAAGATGAGGATGCTAGAACGTCATCAGTTAGTGTCTTAGATTTAACTATAAACAATATTTCAGTCGACATATTCTAGTCTATATATATAAACATACAACGTCGGATGAAGAAACCCACCAGCACAGGTATACTGCTGTTTTGCCAAGAGTCTCAATCAAAGCAAATCTGGAATTCATGCTACAGATAAGGGCATCCTGACACGACTAAGGGACGCAACTATGCTCAGCGGTGTCGCTTCCTATCAGCGAGGCAATGACAGTGTAATGTTGTCGATATGAGGCACCTTGCTGCTATTAGGCATACTCAAGGATGCACATGTCCTAGTATTCACGTTCTTATTCAACGCTGATCAGAAATACTAAAATACAATGATAAAACACATCCTATGTGTTCCATGGTTGGTTGATTTGTTATTATTAAGGACGAGAACCAAACAATGACGTCCTGTGAAACATGTACCCGCACAGATGAATAGCACGCGGTGTTTGTTTCTGTGCGTGAACAGAGGCCGACATGCGGTCTCCAGTGATATAAATCCACGCTGATATGCACACGAGCTACGACAATTATAATGTCTAGGTGCGACCATTTGTCTTGCCCAAAACAATCTGATCAGGCTCCCCCCCCCCCCCCCCCCCCCCCCCCCAAAAAAAATTTAAAAAACCAAAAAACACACACAAAAACAACAACACACACACACACACACACGAAAACACACACACGAAAACACACACACAACCGAAAACACACACACACACACACGAAAACACACACACGCGCGCGAACACATACACACATACACACACGAACACACACACACACGAACACACACAAACTCACACCTTTCAATAA